TCTTTGTTAAATTACAGTATATTTTCTAGATTGAAAAGTAGAATATTATAATATTACTAACAGGTTTATGTTACACATAATTCCAAAGGTTTCAAAGAGCCTTGATACAAAATCACTTTATATTCTGGAGAAGTTTATAATAAAGTTTTATTAGTAATAAAAAGTGAAAACTTTTACTGTGAAATCAGGAACAAGACAAAGATGTCCCTTATCACTATTCCTATTCAATGTAGTTCTGGAAACATTAGCCTGAGCAGATTATTAGAGCCAGAGCAATTAGAAAAGAGAAAAAAAAAAGATAAAAAGGAATAAGTTAAATTATTATTTGCAGATGACATGGTACTCTACATAGAAGACTTCAAAAACTCCATTAAAAAACTTGAGGATTGAATATTCAAATTCAGTAGTGCAGTGGGCTATAAAGTCAACACTCAAAAATCAGTAGCATTTCTCTACACAAGCAACAAACACACGGAGAAACGTTAGAGAAAGCACACCCTTCATGATAGCATCTGAATAAATGAAATACTTAGAAATCAATCTAACAAAGGATGAAAAAGATCTGTACAGTGGAAATTACTGTACTCTTAAAACAAGAGATAGAGAATATCAGAAAACGGAAATATATCCTTTACTCTTAGATAGAAAGGACCAACCTTGTGAAAATGACCATACTCCCAAAACTGCTATGTAGATTTAATGAGATTCTAATCAAAATACCAGCCAGCATATCTTACGGATCTAGAGAAAACATTCTTAAAATTCATTTAGAACCAGAAAAGATATAGAATAGCAAAAGCAATTCTGGGCAATAAAGTCAAGTTAGGGGCTTTATAATCCCAGAGCTCACATTGTACTATAAAGCTACTGTGATAAAATCAAGATGGCATTGGAAACAAAAATAAAAACAGAAAAACAGGTCTGAGGATTAGTAAAGAACAGAACAGGAGACACAAATGCAACATCCAACACACTCAGCTACCTTATCTTTGATAAAGGAGTCAAACATTTTCTTTGGAAGAAAGATAGTCTCTCCAGTAAACACAGCCGGAAAAACCGGTTTTCCACATGCCTAAGTCTAAAAGTAGACCCATAGCTATCACCAGGCACTAAAATATACTCAAATAGGAACAAAGATTTGAATACTAAAACAAAAAGAATAAATTTACTGGAGGAGAAAATGGACAGAAATCTCAAAGACATAGGCGTAGGAAGAAACTTCACAAACAAAACCCACACTGCAAGGGAAATCATATCAACAATCAACAAATGGAATTCACTTTATTAAAGGCTTATACATAGCAAAAGAAATAATCAAAGGATTGAAAAGACAACTACTATAATGGGAAAAAATTATAGCCTTTTGTCCCACAGACAAAGGACTTATATCTAGAACACATAAAGAAATGAAAAAAATCAGACTCCCAAATTCAAAGGCCCAGTGCAGAAATGGGCATCTGAGATGAATACACAGTTCTCAGGTAAAGAAACACAAATGAAAAATAAATACATGAAATAATGTTCAACATCATTAGTCATTTGAGAGATGCAAATTAAAACACCACAGACTCCACTTCACCCTAGAAAGAAGGGATAACATCAAAAAATCAACCAATAAGTGCTGGAGGGACTGTAGGGAAATTGGAATTGTAGACTGTTGGTGGGAATGTAGACACTCTTGGTGGGGATTGTAGACTGGTGCAACAACTGTGAAGATCAGTGTGGAGATTCCTGAAAAAACTAGGACTAGTAGTTCTATTTGAACTAGCTATTCTCCTTCTGGGTATCTTCCCAGAAGAATTAAAAACATCATACCAGAGCAATATATGTGCATCCATGTATATAGCAGCACAATTTATAATAGTGAAATCTTTGAGACAAGTCACATGCTTATCAGTTGAGGAATGGATAAAAAAGATGCTGGATTTAAAAAATGCAGTGGGATACTACTCAGTCATAAAAAGAATAAAGTGGAGACTTTTATGGATAAATAGATGCAACTTGAGACCATACTCATAAGTGAAATAAATCAAATCCATATGTGTAAACATCATATTGTCTCACTAGTATGAGAATCTGAATGAATAATAAGATCCAAAGTGTACAACAGATATTATGAATTGGGAAGAAACTGTTTAAAAGAAAAGATAAATTGTGATGAGGGAAAGGAGAAAGGAAGAAAGGGAAAAAGAAAAAAAATATGTATATACAAGCTAGTTAAGATAGTTACATAGCTAGTTTCTCTTAGTTCATGGAAAAGATAGCTTTGTGCTAATATTGTTTCAGCAAGATATCATGCCTATACGTTGTACTCTGAATTACTACTAGGAAAGCAACAATATGCATTGTATCAACTATTATAATTGCCCTACCACTGTTTTGAAACTCAGTTTCACTGTTACGTTTATCTTTTTCTCTTTAAAATTAAATAATAATAAAAAAGAATTTATATTTCTATGCCCTTTGTAGTAAATAGCATCATCCTTCCAACCTCTGTCATCTCAAGGTCTTCTTCAGAAGAATTCTAGGAATTCCTTGGGAATTTGCTTGTGTTTGCCACATATAATCCTCTTCCTGAGCACACAGATACATTCATCATGTTGGTTTAACAATTCCAGACTTGTGAAACCAAGGGATACTTGTGTCTTTTTCTCATGATTCAGTTCTCTGTGGTGCCCCAGTACTGATCTGAACAACCTGTTTGTCACTACCCTGAAGTAAAGGAAAGAGGAAATGATAGAGAGAGTCAAAGAAGGGCATGGAAGTGTCTCTATGGCACAGTTTCTGCTGCTCCATCAAGTATTTCTCACTACCTTTGTTTGGCATTCTTCGAAATAACAGTAGTGCTGATGATTTTCATCATCTAGAGCTCACTCAAACCTGCCTCACTGGTCAAGTTCTTCCCAATGAGTTGGTGCCCAAAGCATCTTCCCTTATATTAGAGCTTTTCAAAGTGTGCCTACTTATGACAATTATTTTTAAAGACAGATTTTAAAGTTACCCTTCCCATAGAGTAATATAAAATTTAACAAGCTTTTCAAGTAGTTTTACCCACTGAAACTTGAGAACCATTGAAATTTCTCTGGTCTTTGTGATAGTGGAGAGAAAAAATTAGACATAAATAGTTATTATGTTGGAAGTGTCTTCATCTATTTAAAAATATATTCAGGTTTATGTTTTATGAATGTACCAGAGAGGCATTTAGGGGTGACGAAGCATGTTCGGGGGACAATAAAATGGTATTACAGTTGGCTGACCATTTTTATCTGTAGCTCCTACATTCTCAGGTTCAGCTAACAGTGAACAAACGTTTTCACAAATGAAAAAATTGAGTCAGTACTGAAGAAATATAGACTTTTTTTGTTATTCCTTGAGCAAGACAGTAAACTAATTGCATAACATTTGCAGAATATTAGGTTTATAAGTAGTATAAAATGATTTAAAGTGTATGGACAATTTGCATAGGTCTTTGCAAACAGTACCATTTCATGCAAGGGACTAGAACATGAACACATTTGGTGTCAGCAGGAGTCCTGAAACCAATCTCCCGTAGATACAGAGGGCAGTTTTATTTTTCCTGATATGCTTTTGGTTTTCAGTGTTGGGAATAGAATTCAGTGCTTCCTGTGTGCTAGCCAGATGCTACTCTTGATTTATACCTTCAGCCCTTTTAAAATACACTTAAGAAAACTAGACTATTTTGAAGAAGATATGTAACTATTAAAATATTTTGTGATTAAGTTAAGAAATGTGTTTCTAAACTGATTGAGAAAAATTTAAGAGAATATTTCATTAAATCAAGAAATATATTTCTAAACTTGCATGAGAATAGTTTAATAACATGATTCATTGAACTTCAAAAATGTATGAATGCAAGAGATTTTTCTAAGATGTATATAAAAATATATATGTCACCATATACTATTTTGCACATAAATTTAAGTCTCAATTTATTAGTGTGGCTATCTTTATATTTCAGATAGTTCTAGGAATATGCAAATAAAGCTAAAGATTGATTGAAAAAATCGGTCATGTCCCATGTCAAAAGAATCATATTTTTTGTTTTGTCCATTTTAGTTTTCAAAAAAAAAGCCTATCTTAATAGTAGGAACATAGAAAGCCATTTGATTTATTTTGTTTAAAACTTTCCTCTTTGTTTTCATGTGCATTCCTGTCCAAACACATGGCACTTCTCATCAGAAGTATTGCAAAGAGCTACTGATGGTGACAGAAACATCCTTTGTACTTAAACAATACACACAGATTACTCAGAACAATCTTCAGACTGTTGTGCTATGACCTAATTCCCAGATCTGTAATGACTCTTCATAAATTACTTAATTGCATGAATGCCCTCTCTGCCCCAGCATGCAGGAATTTTCTTTAATTCTTTTATTCATCACATTTTCCTTCTTTCCGTGTGATTCTCCACCCCAAAAAGTTCACTTCACATTTTAAGATATTATTTTTAATCAATTCTGCCTCTATGCCTTTTCATATTCCATTTACCTCGCACAAGATCTTTCTTTTGACTGTTATAATTTATACTCACTACTCTTTCCAAATGTAGGAGGTGAGAACAGGCATTTCAACTCAATTAAAAATCACATACTGTTTATTCTGTCACTGGAACATTCTCTAGCCATTAGCTATATCTCTTGACATACTATTCACCTACTCTGATGTTGTTTTATATCTAATTTAAAGATTAGCTACTAAATTTGCATAAACTAAAATTTCATGATTCCCCAGGTTAATATCGGTATCATTCAACTATTAAGGAGCTCTTTAAAAATACATTTTTTGAGGCTTTCTACATAGTTCAGGAAATAAAACCTCTAGGATTCATATAATATAGACTTTTACTTTGTATTTTTAAAGCAAGGTTTCCAATATGTTTTAATATAACAAAATACTGTGATTCTAATGTAGTAAGTAGAGGCTACTTAAATATCCAATAAGTGATCTTAGTTGAGAATAAAAACTGTAGGTAGACATACCATCCTGTGCAGGCTTGTAGATGGGTTTATCTGTCTGTACAAAGACCACATTCTCCTTGGGCCTGATGGCCACAGATCTTCTCTCTTCCAAGTGGACAGTTGCTCCTTTAGCAGAGAATGTGATGAAAGCAAGTGGGTCTGATCTGGCTCGAGGAACCTGGGATGTCACAAGATATTTTATGAAACTGATGCTTTCTTAAGAAATCATCAGTCTCATAACATCATACAAATTATCAAAATGGCTCTTTGTTAACAGTCAGTTAAGTGGTTGGCTTTCATGTACCTGCAATATGCCTTTTAACAGTAAGCAGAATAAAATATTTACCTCAAAACTGGTGCATTTGAAGAAATTTTCTCCTGTAACATTCTCTTCAAATATTTTGGTTACGATCTCTCCGTAGTTGAGGAAGACAGTCAAAACAACAGATTCAGTCAGATTGGAAAGCTGGGCACAAGCTGTAGTCAAAGAGCTTTCTTGTAGAACACTGGGGACCAGCAGAACATATTGCCTGCAGAATTTAAGCAAAAACATTAAAACTGAAGTTGTTAAAGACATGATTAGCTTATTATCAACTGTTTTGTTAGTCAAAGAGTTTTAGAATTTAAGAAAAGTGAATTATTTCCTGATGTTAGAAATATATATAAAGACAAATCTTAGGACTTGAATTGCACAAAGCAGAAGATGCTGCCTTATGAAATGAACTTTGTAGCTCCAACATAAAGTATGCCATTTACAAAGAAGCATCTTTATAGAATGCTTTTGCCCCTGAACTAGTTAACATGCACCTTCGATTTCATATTTGCGTACTATTCGTCCGTGTTCATTCTTCAGTAGATGCCGCATGCATTTTTCCGGAACATAAGTACACAGCACTGTTCTAAACTCTTAATCAGCGTCTCTTCTAGGCAGAGATAATGTTGCCATCCAAATTTGAACTATGTTGCACAAATTAAGACATTCTGGATTACATTGTGCAGTGACAATATTTTTAAACTCATTTAAATATTATTTAAAATCACTACAGTAAAAGAGCAATAAGTTTTAAGTTTTAATAGCAAGTTCTATTTTATTCTAGCTGTAGTAATGCAACCTATGAAATCACTTACTCTTTTGGAGACTGAGAAAGAGACAGATGAAAAAGAAAACAAGCAAGAAGTGATTGCATCCACTTCATGGTCCAAATAGATGAGCAAGTCAGCTGATAGACTCTGCTTACAGAATCTATGTGGATAAGTCAGTGTGCAGAGACTCCAGACATTCTTCCTTTCGAGAGAAGCCAACAGTGGAACTATATATCCTTGTGGGTGATTTTGCAACCACTTCCTGAATAATTCATAAAGTGCCACACACATAACCTAATTGGATGTATCCTTTGTATTTTAGTTGCCTCCCAGTCCTCCTGCCTATTATCTGTTCATAGGTGTGTCACTGAGTCATCATCTCATTTACAAAAAATTTTGAGTCAGTACTTCCTGGATTTAATAGATGACATGCATGAGTGAATCTTTCAAGCACAAACTAAACTTCAATAAATTCAATTATTACCAATGAATTAGTGTTTTACTAAGCCATTATTTTGTAGTTTAGAATTAAGTCTGTGTTGAAAATACAGTATACATTTCTGATTGATAGGTAATAGTTTCAAAGAGTTATTATAATGAAATCATTTAAAATAATAGAAAAAGATTGAAAAAATGCAAATATCATGTATATTTTTATTAACTATTGATGTTGTGTTTTCTGTATATTATACATAATTTTACATGCCAAATAATTACTTTTAATTCTAAATCAAGAGGAAATAACTTCTCAGAATTTTAGTATAATGGTAAAAATAACTAATAAAATTTTATTATCAATGTATCTAATGTTATGATTTTGAATATGAAATCTTTTTGTTCCAAAAAATTTATAAATGTAGCAAAATGCCAAATAAATAGCACTTATTAATGTATTTGGCAAGATAAGTTGTCATATTAAAGATACAGTTACCTTGTTACCTTACTGTAGTCGTGGAAATTCACCTTTGGAGGGCTAGGGGTGTGGTTCAGTAGTAAAGTTCTTTCCTTGATACACAAGGCCCAGGGCTCAATTTCTAGCACCACCAAAGCAAAAAAATTAAATTCACCTTTGGAAATATAATGTAAGCTGATACCCAGTGATCCTTGGAAAGTTTCAACAAAATGTTCTTAGTCATTTTTGTCTTTTGTTGCTTCAGTCTCCATTTTTTTGATTAAAATGTAAACATTTCCTCATAAACAGACACCAGGAAAGTAGTGGAACGAACACCTTGTTGTACAAGCTGTAGATGACTTTTGGGGGCTAACCCTCAACTTTTACAGTTAGGGAAAATTCTAAAGATTTATCTGAGGTTAGGTAAGCCTCACCAATGGCTAGATATCTATAATGTAAAACTATCTTGGCAAGGAGGTCTGTTGAAATGTTATTTCCATTTTCTTTTCTTTCCCTTACCAAAATTCTTACAAAGCATTCTGAGTTCATCTTAATTTTGACTAATAAATAATTCTTGGAGAGACAATCTCATGATGGTGATAATTTTCTTAGATGTTAAAAGGAGTCTGCTGTTATGCTGGGCTTTTAATATTAGCCTTTTACTAAAAATGCAGAGAATTTATTTTACAATAACATAAACCAAATCTTTTTTTTTTATTTCTGAAAAGAAAATTACTTATATCGTGTTGTCTTTAAAAACTCTTTTATGGTCCACTGTTACCTATAAGATAAGTTCCAAACTCTTTAGCAAGTTTCTTCTTAAGAAATTTATGTTTTTCAACCACCAGTTCAGACAGTGTTATCGTCTGTGAAAACACTGCACTTTCTAATGCCTTTCATACTCTTTCATCTCTTTCTGTACACCTATGTGTCTAGAATCACTCTGTTACTTCTGTGCAGGAAGAAGTCAAGTGTATGTCTTGTCCTCATTCTTTAGGATGCAGTTAAAAATTTCATAACTTCCAGGATAGAGTCGGATGTGGCTGCGCTGTTTCTATTGCCGTTACCTTATCTCTGTTAGATATCATGCTAGTGCTTACTTTTATATCTGCCACTGCTCTCAGAAACACAGCTTGAGAGTTTTACTTGTCTGTTTTCCAGTGGCTGAAATGTTAACAGATCTTTGAAGTAAGCAGTCTCCACTCCCAGACTTTTTAAGCAAATCCATTTATTGGCATATTCTCTTTCAACCTAGGAGGAGGATAAAACAGTGTTCTGGTTTTTTGATGCAGAAACACAAATTTTTTCTGCTAGATTTTTTCTGTTAATTCTAGATAATTAGAAAGAAAGCAATCAGCATCTGATATTAAGGGTATCGCCAAGTTGTGAAGTGTTTGTTTGTATTTACGTCTTCCTATATTTATATTTAACCCTTTCAAGAAGACACTGTGGCACTGCAGATTTCTTCACCTTGAAAGGTTTTGACTAAATCAGGAGAAAATTGACCCCATTCATTTAGCTAAGACCACGGACTTCATGCTTTTAATCTATGATTTCTTCTTGACATTCTAGATGGTAAAATATCACAATTCTGAGAATTATTTACATTATTCTTTCTGAAAAATTGACATTAACACCTGCTCTATTACTGATTCCTTCCTATGTAGCTATAAAACCCTCTTTAAAGTGTGACTCTTAAGTGGTTACATAGTATTGGAAGAATATAGTCAGGCATATGCTTTACATATAAAACATCTTTATTAATCAAAATGCAGAATAGAAATCATACCCATATTGGGGGGGAATCTGGAGATCAAGTGTTTGTTAAGTCTTATTAGTCAATTATAATTAGGCATTGTAAATCTAACATAACAGGAAAATTACTGTAAAAAGATTTAAAAGTTGATATAAAAACTGAACTTTACTAAGAAGGGGGCCTTAAGAACATTTCTCTAAGATGTATTGAATTTATATTTATGTGTACAAATATGATATATTTGATTTGGTGTACAGAATCATAATTATTATGTAAATATCCCTCTGGAAAATAAATGTTCTTGAGCACTAAGTTTACCACATTGATTGGCCCTATGAACATTCTTTAGATTGCTAGTTAGCACTTTTTTAAAAACTCTTTTTTAAAATCTGAGGGCTCAAGTTCAGAATTATGGTTTGCTTTCTCTTTGTATAGACTTGTAATAATTACTGAATGATTCTCTTAATGTTATTCATACTTGCCTCTTTTTATAACTATTTTACCTGACTGAAAATATGATTTTTTAATTTTTTTTACACATCCTTTTGGATTTCCAGAGTAAATTTTGCATGTTAGACATTACCTAGATAGAGATGGTTGTGGATATATATATATATGTATATATATATATATATATATATATATATATATATATTTCTAATACATCATCTAAATTTGATGAAAGTCATAATTGTTTAAGTATAAAACAGTAAAAACACAGACATATATATATATATATATATATATACACATGAACATAGATATACACAAGTTTTTAGAATCAATCCAACGAATAAGAATGCAATTTGCCTAGAAAATTTACAGTGGCTTTTCTCATTCCTAGACCATTGAATGGGGGAAACTTGTTCTGTGAGGAAAAAACTTACCGTAATCAAGAAAGGGATGATAACATCAATGAAAGTAAGTGTGGCGAAAATAAGGGTGTGGGTTGTGTGCCTGGAAAACTGATCAAATCTGTTTGAAGATGTGGGAAATTATCTTCTTTCTATTCACACAGCATTCCAATATCCATTTCCTTACCCTTAAAGCAGAGATATATTTTAACAAGCTTATAAAAATACTTGCTGAAATGAGGCCAGTTTTTAAGAGTTTCTGCCAAAAAGAGTTTCAAACAAAATCTAAATCAATACTGCTAATTCAAAGATTATTACTCTAGTCAAGAATGCATTTGGGGTGCCTTGTATTGGATCTCTTCTTTTAAGAGCAGCAGTTTTACTTATGAAATAAAAATGAGCTCAGTAACTGTCAAAATACGACATTCTTCCAAGCAGTTCTGTGAATATTTTTATTGCAATAATGCTATTACTGTAATGCATATAGTATACTTTACTTCTACTGGATATTCATATTTTTAAATAAGAAAATATTTTATCCAGACACCTCTGCTTGTAATCCAACACAGGTGTAGTATAGTAAACACTGTATACACTTAAGAAGTAAGTAAATAAAGTCAGTGGGTGGTGCACACCTGTAATCTCAGGACTCCAGAAGATCAATATGAGTTCCAGACCAGCCTGGATGACACTGTGAGGCTTTGTCTCCAAAACAAACAAAACAAAACAAAGCAATAAATGGGTAATATATTCTTATAAGAATATATTATAATAAAGAGTAAATTATGCTCCCAATACTAGTGAAAGTAAATATTTTATTCCAAAGTTTAGTTTGAAATATAGATTCTCTTTTGGCCAACATCCTTCCCACCTTTCTAACTTCCCTTTCTTGAAAGTATGGCTCTTGAGATAGCACTCATTCTTTTTATCATTAAGAAAATACACAACTGGAAAGGGCCCTAACTATTTTGCAAGTTGTGGCTGCCATTACGGCATGATACTCAGTGTTTCTTCTTACCAAGAGGCAAAACAGCTTAAGGGAAATTTGCCAAGAATTTCTCATGAGTCATGCAACACCTGGAAACTTGTCCTTTCCCCTGTAGAACCTGTTCCTGACAAGCCCAGTGTCTGGACTTCAGTGGGCAGGGTGCATGCTCTGAAGGTAACCACTGTGTCTCTTTACCCTGAAGGCCACTTAGTGCCTGAAGACCCACAGATGCTTGAACCCCCGGGACTGTGTCCGGGGTAGCCAGCTCTCAATGTTCTCTCTGGGGTTACCAGTTGTGAACACAATAAAGGCTCTGTAAACTTCTGAGTTTGGCATTAAGCTGTTCTAACAAATTACAAACATTGCCAAAAACTTTTTTCCAGATGGAGTCTTGCTCCCAGCATACAGCTGGGAGTGAATGCTTTGAGTTGGGAGAGGTCTGTAGGGCTGCAGCCAGTCTGCATGAAAAACATCACACTTGTTTTTTTGTAGGTATCAGAAAAGTACAGTTATTCACATCAGCCTTCGAATATTAGCATAGTAAGAATTTGCATGCGTGTGTGGTATTTTCCTTGCAAAACAGTTACAGAAAAGGGGAAAGTCCCTGGAGCTTCGCAATCAGTGCTATGATACTGCTGGTTTTACCACTAACCATATGAGTAACTATGGATAAACTACTTAATTTCCTGGGATTTCTTTTTTGTCTATTAATGTGAACATAATGACTGCAGTACCTAACAAGTTTCTAATTGAAATTAAAGTAGCCTATTTAAAATGTAAAATGAATAGCATCGTAACTAACACATAACAAACATTTGGATAAGTCCCTGTGGGTACTAAACCTCTATCTCTGTCTGTCTCTCTCTGTCCCTTTCTCCTCCCCTCTTCCCTCAAAGCTCTAGTTGTAAAGAGCAGTTATATGAAAAATGGGAAATTCATGTTAGCCAACTCTTTATACTGGCCCTTCTTAAAATTAGTTCTCTGGGAAAGATACCAAAACATGAAAGATGCTGAATGATACTAATATTGAAAAAAGGGGAAAGAATGTAAAGAAGCACCCTGCCATTTGTAAGCTGCAGAACACTGAACTAAAAGAGACTTTAAAAATTAACATCTGACTATTGGGATTGATTCAGCAGCTCACTACATGCCACTGAGTTTTGTAAATTCTTTCGGACTCTGCTTCTTTGCATAATCAGTATGGCTACCATCTGTCTGGTGGGTTCTTCTCTCAACTCAGAAAAAATTACAAGTTAGAGAGTCAAAAAGGAACTGAGAAGAAGTATTTACTGTAGTAGTGTAGAGTTAAAGCAGAAAGCATTTGTTGTGCAGTAAAAGCAAACAGCTTCTGGGTAAATGAGCCTGAAGGACTACCTGAACAGGTCATCAAAGGGACTCTTTGTCTAGTGATTTTTATGAACAAAAAATGACTACAATTCAGCCAACGTGAGATCAACCTATGGAGGTTATAAACAGGAAAGTCTGACTCACAAGTGGGCTTCTAGGAGCTGTAGCAGGTGTACTTTTATTAGCACCATTAACGGAAACATTTAGCAGCACAAAGATATTCTTCAGAGAAATATGAGTATTTTATTTCTGGGCAAGAATATCTTGCCAATCCAGTGAGGACTTCATTTGCTGAGCCTCCAGTGCCCTGGCCTCAGCCCTCCTGCCCTTCACTGAGCCATCCTCCTCCTGTGTGGGTTGGCCTTTCCCTGGCAGCCTGGAGCTCTCTTGACCAGGGCCTTCCCAGGAAGCCTCTTCCCTCAAGGACCAATGTAACTTTGAGGAATCTTCCTTCTCTCCCACAGAACCCTGCTCATCCTTACCATTTTATATTTTACAAAAAAACCCTGAATGTTTAGATGACTGTGGGATATCTCTTGTTAAGTTAGGAAAATGATATCCAAACTACAGAAAATAGAAGAAGTCCTGGTTCATTTTTCCCAAGTGTCTTGCTATCTCCCTGCTTCAAGTAATACTTGCCTTTTGGTTATAATAAAGATTGCTTCCTCCTAACAATACCTGATTCTGGAAGGAAGCTGTTTCAGCTCTCATTTTCCCTTTCTCCTATTTTTTTTTTTTTTTTTTTTTTTTTGGTGTGAGGATCACACTCACGACCTCGCACTTGCCAGGAAGGTGCTTTTGCTGCTGAGATATATCACCCGATCCGTTCTCCTCTCTTTTGTGACCCAGAAGCAACACTGTTGCAGAAGCCATGCCAGCAGTTTCTCCTGTGCAGCTCCTTCGGGTTTATATGCCCACCGCTAGACCAAGGTAGGAGCTGCTGATGCATGCTTTTCCTGCTTCTTTCTTGGCACAGGCACTCATGACCTCAGTTAGGAGTGTTGGTGGCTGTTCATGCTCAGATGAATTCAGTCTTGAGTTTCCCTTAGCCTCAAGAGATGTTTCACCACGGTTTCTTTTCTTTCCTCATTGAGCAATACTGTGTGATCCATTGGCATAAAGACGGGCCTTCTTGTCTTAAATTAGGATAAATACCAACATTATCCCAACTCCCCAGTGAATGTACTGAGACCTGTCTGGAGTGTGCCTTGTAGTTCAGCTCCCCTTTCTGTATCCTGCTTCCTTCATCCCTCATGGCTATTGACTTCAAGAGTTTTCTCCAACAAACTTTTAGAGACAAGTAGGAATCTTGGAGGCTCAAATTATGGAATTTAACCTTTTTGATGATGTAATGGCTTAGGAAAATTACTGTCTATCCATAGCATCTGAGGTCTGAGCAGAACACAGGTTGTTTAAATTTAAAAAAGTGGGAAGTCTGTTTGGTGAGCAGTCATAATGACAGACAAGTTCAGTTTTAAAGAACTTTTATTTTGACTACTGCATTACATTAGAGGGATGGGAGATGAGGAAGGACGATCTGAAGTTTGTTGCTTGACTAGCAATGTAGGTTTTGCCTTTCAGTCATATATAGAACCAGAACCCTTTTTCCTACTTACCCTGTTTCAATACTGGTCCAAGCCAACATCATCTTTGTCTGCATTACGAAAGCACATTCTACCAGCTCTCCTCACTTCTACTGTTGCACTTTGATAGCCTATTTCTGACACAGCAGTCAGTAATTTGAAAATACTAGGTCAGCTTCCTCTCAAATCCAAAACCCTGAAGTGATTTCAGTTTTGCTCAGAGGGAAAGCTGAGGTCCTAACGTTGGCCTTCCATCCCTGTCTGCCCTGGCTCTCCATTATGGTGTCTGTCTCCTCACCTCCTATTACTGTGCGTTCTTCTATCTCTCTCTGTTCCAGCCACAGTGACTTTAGCTGCTGTGAAAATGAGGACACAATTCCACTTAGGGGACATTGTTTTTTTAAAAGATGATTGCTAGCTGATTCCATAGACAGGAATAGTTTTTCTTCAGATATCTATGTGGTTAGCCTCCTCCTCTTCCTCAAAACTTTTTGTCAAGCCACTTTTTAAAATGAGATTATCCTTAAACATCAGCTTTCATTTCTCAGTCTTTCTCCTGTTTCTGTCCCCTAGGGTGCTCTAGATCCTCGAATCCCTCCTACCCTGTGTAGTTCCATATCACTCATAAATTCCCCCTTTCTATACACTGTCAGTCTATTGTTATGTCTCCTATGTTGTTTGATTATATGGTCTCCTGCACTAGAATTAAGCCCTGTAAGGACAGCCATTTTTATTATTTTATATTATCATGTTCACTCATTGTTATATCCTAATGCAGACTCATACTGGCAACTCTACAGGGAGCTTCCATTTCTTTACTTGATTAGCACTGTATCCTCAATCCCTGCTGTTCTGTGGCTTCTGAACTTAACATCTACTGGTTCCTCCAGCTCTTGAGCACACAGAGAGCCACTGTGGACATTCTCGCCTCTGATCCTGTTAGTCTACCTAATAAATTCTCTTGTATAAATATATAGTGCATATATATATATATATATATATATATATATATATATACATATATACATACCACATTAAAATACAAAGCATTTCAATTGAGGATAATTAGACTTGTTTATTCTTGAAGTTTCCCTGACACTGTGTAATGCTTATAATACCTCAATTAAAACTGAGATGTTAACAAATATGTCCTTTAACTGATTTCACAATAAACTTCTCAGGGTCCATGCATGTGAGTATTATGCAAATTTATTTCACTGTGTTAAGAATTACTTTACACCTTTACAGTCCTCATATTTATCAAAGCATGGCATCTCAAACATTTATGTTGGATACCAGCACTCATATTTTTCACAAAAACCCCAGTACCTATGAATATTTAAAGATATAACTCAAGGAAAATAGGACTCTTCTATTGTACGTTTGAGATAAAATTTCAAGGAAAATGCAAGGAATTTAGTTTGTGTGACGTTCATTTGTTGGTATATTGGTTAGGAACAGAACTGATAGAATATATGTTATCAGTTGTATGATTATTGTTCTACAGTTATCAATTGTATAAATCATGGCAAGGAATAGTTATCGAGTATTACTACTCTCATAACAATTCTATGTAACTTATCATTGAAAAGTAATACTCAGTAACTTCTCCCTGCCATGATATAAATTGACTTTTTAAATAATGCATTAACACTCTTATAGTATTGTTATATAGAATAATTATTGGATACTATTTTCAATAGTAAGTTGAACAGCCAGAACAATGAAATAAGTTTTAAAATACAACATGCCCTTTGATTAATTGCATGATATTGTGTATGAACTCAATTAATTCAACACTTAGTTTGTGACTATTGTTTACTGTTTCCCTCATTTTTGATGACCTTTAACTGAGAAGAATCTAAGGGTTTTCTTGTGTTTGGGTGATTATTTTTGTTTCCTTGGCCTTTCAGAGAGTCCATTTCAACTTTCACTTAGTCTCTTTCTCTTGTTTCTTGTACCTCCTTCTCTAGATATTAGAGGAATCCTATTCTGTAAGCCAAAATCTAAAACTTGAATTTAGAATTAACAATAAATTATTCAATTTTCTATCAAAAAACCCCCTGCATTTTCTAGAATAAAAACTGAATGAAGTATTAGAAGAAAAGAAAATCATGCACTTAGATGTGACATCATAGCATTTAATGGAATAGAAAAGAGACAAAATTTGACAAGAAAACATGGTAGATTGTGGCTTATTCAAGATGAGTGGCAGGCCATGATTCTTTCTTACGATGATATAGAAGAGGAGCTTGTTAAAGAAATAGTTTTCCACCTAGAATTTAAAACACAGTTTAAATGATAAACAAATGTATGTATGTATATATAGGATAGATACAAAACATGCATATGCATATACATATATACAAATGCACATGATATATGAAGCATAAAATTGATGTACATACATATTTGATCTCTCAGTTTATAAAACAAAAGTGAGAAGATTAATAAAAAGTATGTGCACAGCAGTGAAAACTTTAAAACTATTTTAAGGAATTAATACAACTTTAATGATTAACAGAGTATTGATATATTACATACAGCAATACAAACTGTATGAAGGGTCAGAGACCTCTCTTTGTTTCTCTATTTTTCTCTGTTCTTTCCTTTTTTTTTGTACTAGGGATTGAACTCATGACCTTGTACTTTTCAGGTAGGTGCTGTTGCCACTGAGCTATATTCCTGGCTGGGTTTCTATTTTTATAATTTTCTTACCAGATAAATTTTCAATGGCCTGTAATGTTAATTTCCTTACCCATTTCTTCTCTGTGTCTCACTGGGAAACAGAAGTACTATCAATGTTGTAAGAATCAAAGGCATATTCTTCTGGAAAACAAAGGAACATACATCTTTACTAAACCTCCAACTGTATATAATCAGCTTATGTAAGCAAACTAGATCCAAGTTTTTCAATGATTTTATACATTCCACTAAAATTTGCTACTTGATAAAATGCAGTCAATGAACAAATGAAAGAGACAGAACTCGACTACTTGACAAAGTTCATATAAGATTCGTTAACAAACTAAAAGTACCAACTTCCGAAGAATTGTTTTATGATCACTGCAGTATGTTAGTAATTGTTTGGAATGTAATCTTTCAAAATTTTCCTGTAACATTTCAGAATACTGTCCACTCCATTCTTAAGTCAAAGTCCATAAAGATAGCGTAACATAGTAAGTCTTGGCAGAACAACAATGACCACAACAAAAACACTTGGAGGCATAATGTGGCTTGTATGTCAAGTTAAAGGGGAGCCTTTTTACATTGTAAATTGAAAGCATTCTAAATATTGAAAACTCTGTTAACTGGAAATTGCCTCAAGCAGAAGTTATGCTATGGGGAAAAACAGGTCATTCATACAAGGTAAAACTGTCTTTTGTTTATCTGAACACAGGCTGACTTTGGAAAATGTAATAGCTTAGAATTGTTTTTATTGCTCTTGTATTCGTAGCATTAGGCCACTGATGCTTGCCTACCTTTTGCATGATAATTGTAGACCATGACTGGAGCTGGCTGAATGTTGGACACAAGGTTGCTTTGCTCAACAGAAAAAGTGAAACTGTTTGCTGTATCAAAAACCTACAAAGATGCAAATTATAAATATATTGTAGTAAGTCTGAAAGAGGAAAATGACAGAATTGCTTCCAGAAGTTCATTGTCAATCCAATTAAAGAGATCTAGGGTGATCATTATCATACACAACAGAAAAGTGAATTAGTTGACATTAAATTTGTGGAATTTTAATTCCCATTTCTCATTGAAGGGCAAGGGATTTAGTTTAAAATTTTAGAGGAATATAAATGCTTATGTGACTAATAATACATACTATTATGTGATCATGCTTAGAAGAGGAACATAGAAAGTTGAATTAATAGTTGCAGAGAGTAGAGATTGTTACCAAGGGAGGAAAAAATGGGGGAAATGCTTGTCAAATGTATAAAGTTTTGATTGTGTAGAATAACTAAAATTCTAGTACATACTTTGAGGTTTATACTTGCTAATACTCTTTGTATACTTGAAGTTTGCCAAGAGTGTTGATCAATAGGGTTTTTAATCACATAAACAGGTAACTATATTGATATGAACATGTTAATTAGCTTAATTAATTTGCTGTATACATGCTCATCAAAATACCACACTGTATATCTTAAATATATTTAATTGCAATGAATTTTTAAGAAATTATGCCAGCTTTTATTGATGTTTAAGTTAAACCATAAAAGAATTATATATCTACTATGTAGCCTATGTTAGATAAAATGAGAAATGAAAATGTGAAGATAATGTTTCTCAACTTTAGGTTTGTCTACAAAGGGAAGTGATGCTTTGTAATATGAGATAAATGAGTGTTAGCAGGGAAAGATGATCAGTGGGGCAGAATACTTGTCTTCTTTTGTGTCCCACATTTTCATGATCCTATCATGTATAGCCATAAGAAGCAGAAGCCCTTTCATGGAAAAAAAAATCCGTGAAAGAATACCAGTATTGCTGAACTTACATTTTCTAAGTAGAAAAGTACATGGTCGTTCTTGACTTCTGTCTTCATTACATGGCCATTGTTTTCAAGCTTTGAAAAAATTGGCAGGAAAGGTGGGAGTAAATATTAAAATATATGAAAGTATCACTGCGGAATGAATGCTTGTGCTTTTTATTTTGTCAGGTTCAGTTTTATGAGATTTTCCTTGCATCATAATGTTTTCATAAGAAACCAAAGAAAGAAATACATTACAAACCTTGGGAAATAACAACTGTTTTGCTGTAAATTATGAACATTAATCCTCATGCTTCATTACAGCGAAAATACAATGGTGAACTTTGAGGTTCATCTAAGTGAAGACTTCTACAGTTTTGTTTAATTTTTCTAAACACATTTGCAATTTCTCTGTACTGAAAGATAATGCTTCTATTATCTACCTGCTCAATAGATGACAGGATTGGGGTAAATCCTGAGAGCATCTTTACATCCACAAGGACCACGTCGGGGTTATTGTGAGTCCCGGTATATCTGAAATTGAGAAAAGAAAAAAGCCCATTAATTCATTGGTCAGTTTAGAAAGTGACTTATGCCAGTGAGGCCAGAAGGTACAGCGTGGAGCACAGGTGAAAACAGAAGGGAGAAAGCCAAGGAAAGCCCTCTTCAAACAATTGTGTGACGATGGATGAGGAGATATACAGCGTATGCACATAAAGACTTACCTGAATCTAACATCTCCCAAATCTTGCTCTTAAGCACAACTAAGATCTCAGAATCAGAACCTGTAACAAATCTTACTCATTTGTAAATTGCATCGACTCAGGCTGGCCTTACATTTAGTCAACACCCAGGACCTTTGTTTCAAAGACAATTGGTTGGAGAATACAAAGGAGATTTGTCCCCAAAAAGTATTCTAAGTCTCAATTCTACTTCTGCATAGCATCACTAGACCTGAGGTTAAGATTTCCACAGTGTATTCAATTCAAAATTTTTATGTTCCAGATATTTTATATTTATAAATCTTAAGAAAAATCTCCCAGAATAATTTTGCTCAGTGTTAACTTGCATGGGAACTTTGGCTAAAATCTGGACTTTGTAAATCATATTTGAATTTGAGAGGATTATTTTATCTTCAAAAAAGTAAAGAAAATCTGAATTTTAGTCTTTATAAGTACAAAATAAACAGTTGCTGTCTTTCTACTATAGGGCTATCTGAACTTGTCGTGAGGAGGAAGTGCTGTATCTCTGTTGTCCCAAACTGGCAGCACCTCCATATGAAAAAAACAAAGGCGGAGCTGGAATGTCATTGTAGCAAAAGCTTTCAAAGTATACTTGCATAGTGTGTAAATTATTCTTGCTCATAATCCTAGCTCTGATTTAGCTAAAATTGTACTAAATGGATAAATTATACCTTTATGTAATGTCTACAAAGGGAGGCATGAAGGGATTGTGATGTATATATAATACCATCATCACCATCATCATCATCATCATCATCATCGTTGCAATAATTCTTATTTTTATCTTTCAGTTCCTGTTTAAAATATTTATTTCTTGATATATTTCTAATTTTGGAGTTAAAATCAGACTTTGACACTTACTTGAGGGTCACTGTAAGGTCAAAATTAGTTTGTAATTCATCGGCAGAAGTATTCTTTACAATTCCCAAAGAAAGGGAAAATCCAGATGATTTTTTGGGTAGTGGCACATTAAACTTGAGGATGGCCTAGAACAGATATCAAATAAGAGAAGACTCATTCTGTAGTAATAACTGAAGGATCTATTATTTTTATGTAGTATTTCCACTACTTATGTGCTTCACAGTTTTCCCATCAGAGAATCAGGCTACATTGAATTTAGTTTTCAACAGACACAGAATCTTTAACAGCGTGATTTAAACAAGACAGAATGCTTGAAATAGAATTTTACTTATTCTAGAAATAGAAAGACAGAATACTCGAAAAAACTTTTACTAGCCAGGCACACTTAAAGAGAGTATCTCTTCACAAAATAACTGACAGTTTCTGTGATTGATTAGGAAACAAATGAGAGAAAGAGTGGAGATAAACATAGAGTCATGCAAAATGACAAAATCATGTTTCCTATATAATAACTGAATCAGATTTTTCAGTGGCAAACATTTTCCTTCTTTTTAGGAAGAGGTCTATTACCTGAATAAACGTACAACCTTGTCCTTCCACATCGACTGTGTATTGTCCATCCGCTTTTGTTAGTTCTGAACGTTGAACCAGTAAGCGGTTATCCTTGTTAACCTCAAAAATTTCAACGGATTCTTCACTTATAAAGGTGACTGTGTTTTGATCATTAGAGAAGGTTAATTTCATGTAGCTGGTTATGGCAAGAAGACAGACTGTTGTGTCCTGTGAAGAACAGTACAAGCTGTTGTGATACAATATAAGTCCTCATTTGACTACAATCTTTCAATAAATTCATAGAAGTACTCCTAAAACAGGTCAACAGAACATTACAAAGCAACATATTGCACAATAAAACATATATTTACTTGTGATTCGATAAAATGCAACCTCTGCTCTTGAAAACAATTCTGAAAGTAAAGCTGTTATATAGTTTGGTGACCTCGCAGTAGCGCAGGTCAACTTCAAAGAAAAGACAGAGGTCTGCTAGTTACATCTGGAGTTTGCTGCTGATCTGCCTCTTCCTTCTTCCCAATTCTCTGTTCAATCCCAAATTTCTCTGTCTTCTTGGGGTCCTGTTCCATTTGCAGTCTCAGCTTTGCTTTCCCGGTGCATGAAAAACTTTTGAATCCAGTATTCAGAGCCCTTGTCTGGTAGCCTTTTTCTGTCTAATGCTGTTTTCTGCCTTAAGCCTGAAACTTTATTCTTTGCTTTGGCTCTTTCTTCATCCTTAAATTCCACTTGTCACTGTGGCTTTAGACCTTTAGGTATTCTGGGACCTGTCTCCTGGCGACCCTGGCTTTGGACAGTGTGAAATTATGTAGCTGGAAAATCTGAAAGAGTTTACACTATTTAAACCTGGCGGAGCTGGATGTGGCAGCACAACGGTTGGAAGGCGGAGGCAAGAGGATCCTACTAAGTTCAAGATCAGATTGAACTGCTAAGAGAGACCCTATAGCAAACAAACAAACAAACAAAGATGCATGGAAGCCAGGATGGATAATTTTTAAGAATGAAGGAGAAATTTCCTCCAACACATTCTTCTACCTCCACTCATTCCAGCTTTCAAAGTCCTGTGGTCTAGAGCTCCCTCCATCAGTTCTGTTGGGCAGATTCGAGGTTATTTCATCAGAACAAGGGCTAACACTCTGTGGGTCAAGAGTACTTGATCAGAATTTCAAAGGATGGTGCTCGGTGAAACAGCCCCAGCCTCCCATTGTTCTGCTTCTTTCTCCTTTCCTTGTCTTTCTTCTGTCCTTTATATTCCCTTCATTTCTTCTTCCTTTTCACTTTCTTAACTGACTTTGAAACTGAAGGGTATTTTAAAATTATGTGTTGTACTTACTGAATGAATTTTTAATGTCCCTGTTCTTAAAAAAGAAGGAAAGATAGAATTAGAAGATCTTTGAAGACTCTATTTGTCTAAAGTTTTACTAGAAAACTAAGATTTAAAAAAAAGAGAGAAATGAGTATTTTCCTCATAAAAATAAATCTATATTTATTTGCTTTCAATTTTTCCTGAAAAAATAAATTATTGGTTTTATAGTTAATTCATTTCTTCTGTTATTCATTCCTTTCATGTTCCTTTTCCATTGCACATATCATAGGATTAGGGAGAAATCTTTCTTTTTGGTTGATGTGTAGTCTGAGTACAGCACTGCCTGATATCTAATGTTCCAAGATTCTGATGGCTATGCCAAAAACATGTTCTAAAATTGCATTTTATTTTTAGTGTGTAAAGAAAACTACAGGTAAGATATAAAGGTCTCATTTTACTTATTGTATATAGAGATTTCCTTAAGGATGCCTAATACATTATAACCATCCATAAGTGATTCTTGTCCAAAAAATAGGATTAAAAAATAAAATATTCTTCAACCTAGAAGGTGAAATTTGGTCATTATCTTTGCTTCCTAAACTCACTGTAGAGAAAAATGGCCTGCATTGTTATTAATGTCAGGCCCGCATCAGTCACCTGGGTGGAAGAGAAGCCTCCATGGGAGTTCATCCTTTGGATGAGCCACTGCACAATCTTACTAGCATAGGCTAAGTCTTGAGTTCTTCGGGACAGTACAGCCAACAGCACATAACAAGTCTTCTCAGTCTCAGTAGAAGCCCAGGGGATAAAGGATGGGAAATTGTCTGTCTTGTCTTTCTCTTCTTCCTTCCAGTATATCATATTATCTGAGAAAACAGGAAGAACTTCACATAGTCACTATGGAAAAAACTTTTTTACATGGCTCTTATAACAAGTCGTTACAAAGCTACATAGATGGAGAATGCAAATTCCATTCCTGCTCTCTTGTTTTGGACTGAGTTATGTTCCTTTAAAATTCATATGCTGAAGCCGTCTCCTCTGGGACCTGAAGGTATCTGCATTGGAGATGGGCTTTTTAGAAGGTCATTAAATTGAAATAAGTCTTTTGGGTGAGGTGTAATTCAATCAGGTAGTCTTTTGAAGAAGGGAAAATTTGTTTACACCAAAAGACCCCCAGAGATTCACACATACAGAAGAAAAACTATATGAGGACAGAGGGAGAAGACATCCATCTACCAAAGAAAAGATCCATACTTCCTGACATCTGGATCTTAGACTGCTACCTGTGAGAATATAAGCTTTTAAATTAACCAATTTGTGGCATTTTATTATTATAAATCAGTCAATTAATATAGTCTCAACGAGCAACTCCTTAACATAAAAAGTAGCTATTATTGTTCATGGCATTTGGTTTCCTTTACTTCACTTAGCTGAGCTGTAAAAAGAAAAATAGTGAAATCTAAAATACATAATAATCTTTCAAGATAAAGGGACACTGATGAATTCCAGAAAAGAAACAGGAGCATACAGGTGAAGTAAGAATTTCCATATGATTGCTTAGAAAATTGCATCAAGATCATTTCCCACTACCTAAAATGAATGACTCAACTTACCTATCTTTGTGGCAGACTGATCTAGGATCTGGAGCAAGGCTTCCACTTGCTCTTCTTTTCTGGCTAATGCAAAAGTGTAGGCTAGGATTGCCTGTGTGTAGCCATTACTGACACCCCTTTCCAAGGTGTCTTCCAGGCAAAAGAGCCCATTTCTTAAAGCAGGAAACTAGTGAGGAGAAAACACATATTTTACAATGATACTTGACTGTTTTATAAACTCTGAATATTCAAACTCATTGTGGTTTATAATGTATAGAATACAGCCTCGAAGTACATTTTACTAACAAACCCATTAATACTATTCATATATAATACACCTTAATATATCATTAAAATGAATTTTTAATGTCATTGTTAGTATATAAGAAAGAAAATTCTGTTGTAAGAAAATCACAGTTTTAATATCTTACCAGTAAAATCTTGGTTATAACATAAATTTCATCTATTTAAGAAAGCAAATAAATTTATTCGTAACGTCTAAATTATTTTACTTTGATGCTTTAAATACGGATTTACAGTTCTATAGATGTTTCTCAAGATATGCCAGTGATTCTAAAAACTCCCACCTCTTAATTTAGAAATAGGTTTTGGAATCAGACAAGCTGAACTTTGGATAGGGGGATAGCCAGTATAAATCCCGTTTAGGCTGAAAATATTTACTCCTTGGATATATATAGAGAAACAGAATTCAAAGTTACAAATTTACTTAGGATAGAGGGTCTCAATCTCAAATTCTTGCCTGAACTTTAGCAGATATCTGAATACCTGAAACCGTGTGAAAACTTGAATGTGTGTGTTAAATATATTTTCCCAAAGGAAAACTCAATGTATATCAAAGGAGTCTATGAATGAAAATTAAAACAGCATCAATTTAAAGATGGAAATGAGTGAAATGCTCTCTTGATGTATCATGCAGTCTAAGAACTCCAAATCACTCAGAATGTAGTCTATTTAATGTGCATTTAGGTGACTGAAGCCAAATGATGATGGGAATCCGTACATTGGAATTGAGCCCAGCTTCAAGGAACATCACAACGATAGATGAAGTGAGTACAACGGCTTCTTCATCTCCAGTCTAAGAAAAAAAGAACAGAGTCAAATAGGATGGTAGGGTACCAAAGAGAGGCTGTGCTGTAGGGAAACTAACTATAAAGAAATAGTGGAATGAAGGCCTTTGTTCATAAAAACACCTGAATGTGGGTTTTTTCTTTTTTTGTGGTGTTTTTAAGGTTTTTTTGTGGGTTAGCACCCAGGTATTCACAAAACTAGTCAAGCTCTCTACTACTGAGGTACATCTGAGGTACATCAAACATGTGTTATATTAAAATTAGTGAATTAATAGCAATGCTTCTTGAGCAAGAATCCATTAAAGTCTGATATAAACATAAATCATAAAATTTTAAGTATATTTAATGGCATATTAAAATTTAATGTGGTTGGTATTACATATGCATTCCAAGTAATTCATACAACTCTAACTAGATTTGATATTAATGTGAAAAAAGAAAAGAAAGAGTTTCTTTTGAACTGAAACAAATTGGTTAATAAACCTCTTTTAAAAATCCCTGTAAAGGTACTCTGGGAAGTTTCAGTAGTCAGTCCTGATAGATTATTACAATACAAACTCAGAAAAGACTATACATAATGTGGTTTGAAAATTGTACATAAATATCCCCTGAGAAATTTAAACATAAATAAGTCAGGACTGAAAATAACAATATGATTTAAAAACTCAAGACAGGGAGGTGATTATAGTGATTCTGACGCAAACAACATTCAGAATGGCATTTGGGACCCACTGACCTAGTAAGAAATTCTCATCTATTTAAGCAAAACATGATTTTTTTAAAAAAAGAAATGGAATATTTCTGAGAAACTAAGTTGTCAAGATGCAAATAGCAACACATAGTGGACGTGAAAATAAAATATGATGGTTCATAACTTTTAAAATGTAACAAATGAGGTAAAAATTCTAAAGGAGTGTTTTTACTTTGCTCTTGCTTCTTTCTCCTAACTGAAAGTACTCAGCTCCCTACACACACATTAATTACAGTTGTTCATAGTCACAGAAGATGGGTTCTGGACCACGTAAGGATGATAAAACCCGTAGGAGCTCAAACTACAGTGTTATATAAATAGTTCTTATACTGTATTGTTTAGGGAATACAGAGGGGAAAATTTGTTCATGTTCAGTTCATGTGTAGTCCCTCTGGCCCTCAGGTTCTTTCAGTCTGAGTTCAGATGACTTCATGCCTGTGGCATCCATGGGCTCAGAGGACTAACTATACAATACAGACAAAGGATTTGGTAAAATCCGACAAAGGCAAGCAGTGATCAGTAACTTATCTAAGAAGAAGAAAGATAAACAGAAGATGAGTGGGAGCAGTGATTATGAGGAACACAGAGCCAAAGCTCAAGATATTTTATGGAGTGCCAGCAAAGGCTAAGATATCATGAGAAGGGGTTTTGAGTACTTTCAGCTTTTGGAATATTCCTAACAAGTTAGGGGAATGAAAGAGAAAAGAAATGAAGGTGGATAGCAATTTTTGATCTTCAAAGAAAGGGAGTCAGAAGGAAGGAAATTTTTTTTTTTTTTTGTCTTTTTCCTTTTTATCGGTACCAGGGATCGAACTCACAACTGCTTGCTTATAAGGCAGGCGCTTATGCCACTGAGCTAAATCCCCAGCCCAGGAAGGAAAATATTTAGCGATTTACCCAAATATGGACAAGAAAAGTAAAGTAAAGTGAAGGGGTAGATCTCACCAAAACATTCTTCACCTCATATGCAATGTGGCCTAGGGCAGGCTTGGCCAATGTCATTTTCTGTGAGAAGGTATTAGAAGAGCTATCTTCCCTGGACAATGTAAACTACCAGGTAGTCTCCCTGAAACTTTCTCGTCACTAGTAACTAGGAATGAACTTACATTCTTTTTACACTCAAGAACTTCTTCTTCAGAATAGTACTGTCTGCTCCAAATTTACGGATGTGCTTTCTCTATGTTTTTATTTCTCTCTTCTTTTCAATTTTACTTACTACAAAGGACTGACTCTGTGTATGGATTAAAGACTGAGTAAGATAGACAAAACACTTAGGAGGAGTTATAGCCAGGCTGTGATTAAATATGCATGCAGCAGGGATGCGGCTGCCCACCAACACACCACAAGGTTATGATTACAGCACACTCAGAAGGCACAAGATTCACACACACACACACACAAAACGATCATGTTCCAGTTGTGGTTAGCAAGAGGTAAAGGTAGGGAGGCTAACATGGAGTAATAAAAAAAGCCACATGCTATTACTTCTCACCTGCCAAGCATTGTTGGACCTATGGCCATCACTTTCAAAGCAGCCATTTGCTTTCTGTTTGCTTGAAAGCCAGATTAAGGTCTGTTTTTGAACTGTTTCATCAATGAATACATACTCTTTCATTCTCTCAAATGTCTTATAAGTAAGGGCACTGAACCTGTAGTGCAGGTCATCAGAGCAAAAGTTAGATTAAATGGAAATGATGATAGCAGTTACTTATCCGTCCCTCTTGCTGCCTTTATGTAATGGATTCATTCAGCTTGTCCAGTAGCGTTTGTAACAAGTATTGATCAATAGTAGCTCTGTGGGGTCAGAGAAAAATTTTGAATAGGGCTCTATACAAATTAGTGTGCATTCTCTTCAGGCTGTTTACATCAAAAGGCCTTGTTCTATAGTTAATTATGCATACATGGAGAGTGACACATTGTAAACAGATAATTTGGGGCCTTCTAGTTTAGTTTTCCTGAATCAATACAATTTCAGGAGAAGTGAAGAGTAAGGTGTGCCATTTTCCATGAACCTAACCAGCTACAGATGTTGGAAGCTGCCATGAAATGATCAGATAGCTAAGCAAACTGCACAAGACTCTCAGTAAATTATTTAAAAATAATCAAATATTCTGGTTTTTATCTGCTTCTCCTCTGGAAATTCACTTTGAAATCCACTTTTCTGCTAAACCTCCACTGAACTGAACCTTCACCTTCATCTTCTTGTAATTCTTCCTCAGTCGATTTGTGTATTATTGAAAATAAAAATTTAATCTCTCACCATAGGTTTCCTTCCTTATTCCTCTGCCAAAACACACTATATGAACCATCAGCATTTTTGAAAGACAACTGTTGTTGATAACCTAGAACACAACACAGTAGGAAATTACTTTTTCACCTAAGAAAGAAAAAAATCATAACAGAGTAGGACATACTCTGAGTTTTGTAGTTAGACACAAGAAATTTTCTAGAATAACTTTTTCAGTTATAATCTCTGCAATTTATATCTAAATAATTACTCTATATTTAATGGAGAAAAAAACTCCTTCATAAAATTTTGATGACAAATAAGATACAAATATGCCTAACATAAATATCATTGATACTTATTAATGAATACTTTTGCTTTAAGTTCTTTTTATTTCATTCAGTTTTACTTTTTTTGAAGGACCCATTCATTTCTTGGTTTTTCTTTGACATCATATTTTATGGTTTATGTACTATATTTCTATATTTAAGTCCGATCACTTCATTGCAATAGAATATAAATAAATAAATATACCCAAAGTCAGTAAATGATTCATTTATAACAACTATTAACAATAACAACAGGCAAGATACTAGGCATTAAAAAAATCACTGAGCTCATATTTTGAACTATTACAATTCTCAATTATAGAGCTAAATTACCATACAAATTTTGACATAAAAAATAAAACAGCTAAGACTCAGTAGTATGTAAGTTCAGGTCCACTTTTGCTTTACTGGACTACAGCATAAGAATAGCTTTATGACATTTTAATAATAGGAAATGTATATTTCACCTATTATGGGAAGAAACTACTTCAATCATCTCACCGTTGGATAAGAAAAAGGATGCCTTAGATTTAACTTCCTCTGTTAATTGTTTAGTAGCCCTCAAGTAGTCCAGGACATAAGTATTGGAAGCTAGAAGGGCAATATTTTGCTCTCCCCATCCATAGGGCATTTGGAGAAGACTCTCCAGATTCTGCATTGCAACTCCTAGAGTATCTCCTGAAACAGGAAAAGCAGAGTCATATTGCTTATAGTTGCTATCTCAGCATTAATAAACATATATTAAAGAGACATGGTGCAAATAAATATTTTTTACTGATTCTGAAAGGTGGAAAAAAGGAAAAGCATCATAAAGTATCACAAAGGAAGACAGCCATGCGGAATAAATTAAATGGGTTTCTGACACGAAAAAATATTCCTGAAATTTTCATTACCAGACAAAACAGGAAGCTAGTAAAATGCATTTATTTGTTCATTTGCTCTCTTGCTTGTTTGGTTTTTGAGAAGCTGGTCCTATGAAATGCAAACTGCAATCCACCCCTCTCCAAAAGGTGTTAATGACAGAATGTGTTAATGGTAAGAAGTTTGCCTTTTAGAAAATATTTCCCCTTTAGAGGAAAATCCCAATATCTTTAACATGCATAGCTTATTCTGATTCCTGATAAGTAAGTCTAATATTTCAGATTAATGATTGTAATATAACCTTTTGTTTTCTGAATACTAGTTATCATCTACTAGGATTAGTGTTTCATATGGGCATAGATTTGGAACTGGATCTTTCAGATCCTATATGGAAACAACATAGAGCATAGTCTGAACAATAATTGCCTCCAATCGATATATTAAGAAAATCTATCTGTTTTTATAGGAATTTTTTGAGGCCATCTCAACCAAGGCTTTTATATCAGTATGAAACAAAATTTAATAAATTTACCCAAGACTATTAAAAAGGCTCTGGCAGAGCCTTCTATTATGTCGTTTGGCAACTCCAACACTACCTCCTTGGAGACTTTGGTACCTGAAAAGAAAAATATCATTAAAAAATAAAGTGAAGACTTCATTTTATTAACAACAGTAGTAGATTTTAAAAGCAAACACTTAACACTTCCATTATTTATTTTTGTTCTACAAATAGCTTGTTAGACAAAATAAAATTGAGGACTCAGTCAAGTTTAGAATAGCAATACATTCAGAAAAAGCTTGTGTCTCCATTTTCCACTAATGTAGAATCTAAAACATTTATGTATGTAAAAACATAAAAACATAAAAACTACTGACCAGGACTATAAAAACACATACACAAAAGGTATGGCTTGCAGATTCTGATTAGATGTTAAAATCAAATCACAATTCACCAGATGAAATAGTACTTCCAATGCACCTAAAGATGATGATTGCGGGTCCATATATCTATGGATTATTTATCTTAAAAGCACCTGGGCAAAGATTATATTATGTAATATTGTAACATGCTCCTGATTTTTCATTGACTAGTATTGTATAGTGATTATATAAGAGGAGCTAAGAATATACAAGATGAGCAAATTTTATGGAGGCAGTAAGATGCTACCAGTTTAAAAAATATTTCTTAGGCATATTTTTATTTGCTAAAATTACACAATGAAGACCAGATAGGAGATAGGTAATCTTCTAAGAGGAATTTAAAATGAAATGAAATGGCAAGTGAACTAATGTAAAAGGAGAAGAAATAAACTGACCCGATTGATAAAATTTCTTTGGGACTAATTGGCTATTTTCAAAAGTCCTCTTACCTTTTGTACAAATAAAAAAACTCTGGGTCACTTCTTTTTCAATACCTTCAGGCTGTCAAAAAGTAAGCAATAAATAAATAAATAAAAATAAAAACCAAACACAACAAATAATGAGACAATTAATCTGGGTCAAGTTTCTACATGAAATGGTCAATCGTCAGTTCCCTTAGGCATGGCTGGCCAGGTTTGCATTATCCTCTCTGTTCATATCTAGAAGTCACTACACGTTACCAACACCATTAGGTTGGTCATTGAGTGACACTCTAAATGTCTCTGCACTTCTCTACCATCTTCAATAGACCAAGGTGTCTTGCAGAGTAGGCACATGCCAATAGGTGAGGCAAGAATGCTCCCTATCAAGCACTGAGTCCTGCTAACGATGACAAGAGCTTATTAGGAGCATAGGACAAATAGATTTGCTACTGCATGTGAAGCTCACTTGAAAAAGTAAAGGTAGAGGTCATGAGTTTGATCCCCAGCACCAAAAAAAAAAAAAAAAAAAAGGAAAGGAAGAGGATAGGACTGGGCATACAGGAAGCACCAGGTGTCCCCAGATCAAGCCTGTGTGGAGTAAGTTTTATTCTCTAGTGTGACGTATTAGAGAAAGGATGAGATTTAATGATGTTTCAGTCTATTTGAGAGAAACATTTCATGTCAAAAAAAGACTGAAAAATAAGGTCTCTTCAACGACATGTTTCCAGATCTAACATCTTAGATGCTGCCTGCCTCACATGGAGAAAAGTGTGATGCTGTGCATGTACACACCTCTACCAATATGCTTTTGACAACGACGTCTTTCCAGTTTAGATTTTGCTGATCAATTGCTTTATTTATGCATGCACTGTTCTGTCTGGACTCGGCAACTACAGTGATATTCACTTTACCTGGAAAATATTACCAAATGTAAGTTAAAGTGATCACTGGCCTTAGTATAATGCGAAATGATTTCAAATTCTGTGAATCTTATTTTGAATTGGATGAACCAAAGTCTATGAAATTATTAATGCTTTAGAAGAAATTATTTGTTTTTTCTCCTAAATGGAGGTAATTTAGGACGATTTGTTTTATCCATTTTAAGATTCCTCATATTAAGGAATCAACTACTTTTCTCATATATGTTTTTATTGTTACATTTATTTAATTAGAACATAAGAATTTTTAAGAAACACAACATTTTAAAAAGATATCTGAGTCAAATTTTTAATGTTGTTTATAAAGATAACACGATTTTATAATCATATAACATCGGATAATTGGGACCCCTAACATTTTCCAAAATCAAACAAACACAAGTGGTATAATATAATACAGCAGAAAAGAACTAGATTGAAATTAAGAACTAGAAAGCAGTCCATTGTGGTTTTTTTAATTTCCTGTGATATCGTATTATGTAAGTAAAACTGATCACAATTTTCCTTATTTATAAAAATTAGAAGATTAGAAAAATTACTTGTAAGGCTTAACATTAAAAATGTACTTATGTACATAACCAGATATACTGTTGGTATTCTCTGCCAATGTGTTTTGTTCATTGTTTCTTCCTTTAGAAAGTCTTTGATACTCTTAGGACTGCATCCTCCAAATGCAAAAAAAGAGCAAGTTTTCAATATTCTTACTCAACAGCCAGGATAATGTTTTTGAGGTTATTGCATTACTAAAAAACTAAAAAAGTTTAAACCTAGTGGGAAAAATTGGAGGCAGATCTATATAATAGGTGAATTAAAACAGATTTATTTGTTGTTAAAATATTGCAGAGTATATGGGACACAAATTAATTTTAATGATTTAATTTTCAAAATTACTCATAATCAGTATCATGCATGTTATGTTTAGAATTCCTTAACTTTTTCCTTCTGCTATCTTTCAGCAAGATTCTTCTAAACCTCTATTCTGTTCTGGTTTCTGTTCTATTTTCACTTTTTAGACAGATCTCATTAAGTAGCCCAGACAGGTCTTAAAACTCAAAACTTAAAATTAATCTACTTCAGTGCCTCAGGTACCTGGAACTACAGGTGTGCCCCACTGTGAATGGACTAACTCTATTTTTCTATATTATAGATACTACATGCAGAGAGGCAATATTTTAAGAATTTTTGCTCTAAGTGTTGTGTGTTTTTTGAGATCCTTAATATTCTTAATATTTTGAGATCCTAGAGGAAATTTCCATGTCCCAGAAATCTCCATAATTGATCAACATGATTGAGAAGCAATTTATGCATAATGGCATTTTGTATAAATTGTGAGTGAAGAGACAAGTGTACAAAGAATTAAGACAGCATTAAGAAAATATGATGTGTGGACTTGATAGATAATGTGGATTAGCATTTATAGTGTGTTGTAGTCCCATTATGCTTTTTTGTGTAAATGACTGATAATTTTGCTCTACACAATATTAGCAACTAGAAATCAGATTATAAGGAGCAAAATTTTTAAAAAGTCAAAATTTAAAAAGAACTAAAGACAGTAGGAATAAAATGAGGTTTTTTTAAAAGTGAATTTAAGGTAAATAGCTGAAAGAGTCTGTTTTTAGGAGACATTAGCATAGACACATAGCCCCTTACCCAAGTTTTGAGGTATAAGAGTCCAGACATATGTTTTCTTCTCTCCAGCCTGGATGATATCATTCCCATTGCTTTTTAGGGTGTTAATATAGGCTTCATAATTCTGAGATGTTTCTAGTTGAACAGATACCTATATAAAAATAGTCATGGTAAGAAGGCAGCCCTGAAAATACTTTTATATTACTATTCTATCTGTCATCGATTCTGTTTTAAGTTTGCAAAATTAAGTAAAAATTCCATCTCCCATTTTAGGTAACTTGCTGAATGAGTTAAATACACCACAGTGATACATGTACAGTCATGTTTACAGCAGCACAATTCAGAACAGCTAAATCTTGGAAGTGGCCCATATGTACATTCACAGATGAACGGATAAAGAAAACATGGTATGTACACGCAGTGGAAAACTACTGTACCACAATAAAGACAAATTTGAATCGTATTTGCACAAGAAGCTAACTATGGGGGAGTAGGCCTCATTAGGAAATGTCATTCTCAGTGCAATTCTCAAATCAGTGCTGAGAATTAATGCAACTGCTTTTGTGTGAGGAACGTGGAAATGAGGCCATCTCCTTACAGTATCACTTTAAGAATAAGGTAGATATTCAAAGAAGTTATTAAGGAATCGTTTAGTTTTGTCAGACTTTTGTCCCCAGATCAGGGGGAATAACTTACTTCCACACATGTGTTCAGATAGCTGAAGACACTGACAATCAAATCAAATTGTTCATTTCGGATCACTGAGAAGGGTAAAGCGATTTCAACAAAGAAAGCCTGGGAGACTTGCAGAGAGACTGTGGAAGAAATGCCAAATCCAGCCTTTCCATTCACACAGAAGGCACTTGCTTCCCATTCAGTCATAGTGTCAGGGGTGACAAATGAAAGATTTGCTGAACCTGAGGAACTGCAAGGAGAAGTTGTTGATAAAACAAAACACATCCTTTAGCTAAATGAAGAACCTGGATTTAATGGACAGCAAGAAAAATCTATTAGCTGAAGTTTAAAAGTGAATTACAGTGTTTGACAGAGCATTAGATAAGAATCTTGAGAGCTGAATTTCTATAAAAATTTAACCTTTAAAAAGTCATATTTCTTTAAATACTATCTTAAAAAAATCCGTGGCAGCTTAAACTAGACTGTGAAATTTATTGCCAACAAACATCTGGTTAAAAAAATTAAACAAAAACAACTGTGAGACAAAAATTGAAATAGGACCAGAATGTTTAAACAAATGTTCTATGTTGCACAAATATGACTAGGAATAGAAGCTAATAAATAAAAAAAGAAAATAGAAATACAAATACATATGAAAGGAAGCTGCTAAAGTAACTCACTCAACACTGAAAAGGTCCCATATCCACGTCTCAGGGAATTTTGTTCTTACGGTTTCTATCATAGTCTGTTGCACTTGGTTAGCATTCTCTCTCAATGCAAAACCTTAAAGAAAAGAGAAATGCATCAATTACTGGGAATAAAAAATCTGTATCTTAATGACGTGTGCTCATAAAGTTAAGTCTTTTGTAGCCTGATTCAATGTGAACGCAAAATGGGAATTTATTCTTGGGGCTCAAATGCTGGCAAATGCGAACCTCAACCTGGGTATCAGTATTGGGTAGCTCAAATCTCTACTGTTATAAAAAGCAACAAAATGACAAATAATCAGCCTATGCTTTCCCTTCACAGTCAGCCTACTGGTTGAAGTTTCTCATCCAATATACTGAGTCTGCAAATTCTGCTTTTGCTAATGTTTTCAATAACATTAGGACTTTGAATTTTTAAGAACATTTTGTTCAGAAGTACGGTCTTCAGGCTGCACTCAATACACTGTATCATTGCATCCTCTCCTAAATGACACTATTGTCAAGTAGCATAACACAGAATCCTGGTTTTCTACTCTCTTTTGAAGGATGTAAACTCTCATGCTTGGTCTAAGAGCCGTATTAAATCCTCTTCTTACTGGGCACCATCTCCTACTGATATCTCCTGCCAGCTTCAATCACAATAGTTCTTCCAATGCCTCTCCTATCTTCTACCTGGACATTTCTCTTGAATCTAGACTTGTGCATCTTTTCATTCATTTCTTGTGGATACTTTACAGAGAATGTGAATTCAGCTACTCCCAAAATGAGCTCATCCTGTGCATTCCCTGCTTCTACTGCTATCTCTCCCTTCCATGAAGGGTGTCCAAACCTAACTACTTACCCAAGTCAGAACCTATAGCAGTGTCTGATCCCCTCCTGTCCTGTATGCCACATAACTTATGAAGTCATCTATTACAAGTTGAGGACAGCTCAGAGATCTATTCACATTTCTCTGTCTCTACTGCCTTTTTATAGTTGTCCAAGTCATTGCTGCTGCTCAGTTGAATTCCTGACATCTGGGTCGTTTCACATACTCTCAAGCAGCCTAAATCCCAAACGCTTTTTACAGAGCAAATAAAGATACTGTTTAAAAATTCATACTATATTGTCTTATAGATTGCCAAGAGGGTATTATTATAATAGGATAATTCCAAATTCTTTAAATGTCATATAAGGTTCTACTGATCTGTCCACATACATCTCTTGCTTTAGTGGTTTTTATCCTTAATTTGAACTGCATCTTTTGCCATTCAGAAGGGCGTGTGGTTTCTTACCTCAGCTTTCATAGCTTTTCCTTCTTTAGTTGGAGTGCCTTTCTCTTTTGTGATACGTTTTGGTCTCGATTCAAGAGTTACTTCCTCCAGGAGCACAAAATAAGCCCTTAAAATTAAGTCTCTTCTATTTGATATATATGTTTTAAAATGAAATACATGTCTAAGTCCCTTTGCTCCTCACTGAAACAAAATACTGGACACCCACAATTTAAAGGAGAAGAGAATTATTTTGCCTAACTCTTGTAGTCCACTACTGGCTGGCTCCAAGGTAGGATGGCATGGTGGAAGGGCCTGGGTGGAGGTTAGCTGCTCTTATTATGGCAGCCAGAGGCAGAGAATGAAGGGAACAATGAAAGAGAGGAGTATGCCCCCCCAGGTCATATGCTCTGCGACCTGTCTTTTCTAACCAGGCCTACCTTCTTAATATCATATTTAATTATAGCTTCACTGTGATTTAATCATCCTTCAAAATTCCTACCTCTGAGCACATGAGACTGGGGTTGGAGGCCTACATATAAACCTAACAAGCACTATTCCCCTGCTTTGGGAATTAGCTTGTTACTGTATTCACATCATGCACCTCAGTTCATGGTCTCAATAAATACTTGTGAATGATTGCATAAGTGAATGACTGAAGAAAAAAGAAAACAAAATGAAGAACTTTGGGTTTCAATATATTTTATCCAGAGAGATAAGAAAAGTTTGGATGTTTCTGATAAAACTTATTATACATAGTTTAATATAGTAAGTGAAAGTGAGTAGCTTTGTTGATGGACACTTAGATTGTTTTCAAGATCTGGTTATTACAAATTGTGCTGCTATAAGTGCAGGTGAACGTATATTATTGTGGTATGATGTTTTCAGTTTTTCTGGGAATATGCCTAGAAGTAGAATAGCTGGGTCAAATGGGATTTCCAATCCCAGCTGAGGAATGGATAAACAAGTTATGGTATTTTTACACAATGGAGTACTATTCAGCTATAAAGAATGATCACACTGAGATATTTATAAATAAATGGATGCAACTTGAGACCATACTTATAAGCAAAATGAATCAAATTCACATGTATTAATACCGCCTAGTCTCCCTAGTGTAAGAAATGGTAAGAGTACATAAGATTTTATGGTAATCACGATTCCTTACTACATTGCTTTGAAGCCTTATAATGTTTTCATTCATTAATGAAATGGTTTTACTCTGTTTTGTTTGATTTATCATGTGTGATGGTATGAACGGCTATTTGGAAGAAAATAAGACATTATGGCAGCCATTGCTGATTTAATATCATCTTGCTTTGAAGTCTACCATGCTTTTGTCCTTCTATTTCCATTGGTTCTAATATATTGAATCTTATTGGATTTTAATATGTGGGATGACATAAACAAATTCTATATGGAAAATGAGATAATATAGTAGCCATTGTTCATTTTCTGTTATCTGGTTCTGAATGCCCTGTAATACTTTCATTCTCTTGAATGGTGTTACGCTATTTTGTTATGTTTGATATTATTGTATGTGAAGGTATGATCAACTATTTCAAAAAAAGAGACATTATGGTAGCTACTGTTATCATCCGGTTGTCTTGTTGTGAAGTGCTGTGTTGCTTACATTGTTCTGATCTGCTTTGTTCTGTCCTTTTTTGTCTTAATCTGTTTAACATAAAATTTTTTAAAAAGTAAGTAAGTTGCTTTAATTTCTTGACCAGGACTACAAAGTGATTTGAACTTTCAGACTTTACAGGGCCTTTTGAATACTCAATAAATCCATCATTTTAAAAAGTTGTCAGGCCGGTATGTTTGTCAAGTGGTACGTCTGACACTCATCTCCAGGATGGAGTCCACTTCAATCACAGAATTAGTGTCAGTAAGAAGCCAAAGGAATTTAATCAAAGTTAGTTGGGTATTCTCAGAGGCATTCAGAATACAGCTTTTATTTGGAGTCTGTTATAATGATCTGGCTCCATCTGGTTTCCCTGACTGTATTTATATGTAAAAAATCTGCATGCCTACATTATTTTTCTTGCAGTGTGGCCTATTTTGAGCTTTCAGTCCTTCCACTTGAAAGTAGACTAGTATTGGGACACATTTCCCTGATAGCAGCTGTCTAAATATCAGGATGTCAAAATGCTCTCTGCTTTTGACTCTGTATTTAGATATCTGTATAACAAGGAGATAAGGGAGCCCACAGAAACTCTCTTCTATCACAGTCACAGTAACTATCCTCCTGCACCCCACACATTTCATGTTGCTACCTGCATACTTTTGATATTGTTTTACTGGCGAACTTCCTTTCATAGCTGAAGCTGGTTGCTCTTTATAGTCAAAACCATTTCCAGACTACCTTATTTTGCTTTAAAGACGTGTAGGATGTTCAGTTGTAACCAAAAACATGTCGAGATTCCAATTTTGTATGATTTAATCCAAATACCCCGTGATTCTAAGAACCTGTTCAACCACCCCCTCAGCCCCAAACTCTGGGTTACCCACTTGCCATTGCAGGCGAGGCAAACTGCACATAGCTTTCTCTTCCTAGGTACAATGGCCTGATATACGGTTCACTTTCGTCCATCATACATAATTCTGGCTTTCGGTAATGGAGATTCGTGAAGACTTTCAGACCCATGCGCTTTGAAAGAAATAGAGAAAATGTGCATTCCTTTTATGAAAGAACTTTAAAAGTCTTATCATTTTGTAATAAAAAACAGACCATACTTCAACATATTTGCTGTGTTAACAAGGCTCTAGTGTAATAGAAATCAAGTCACCTGTATGTGATTTAATATCCTAATTTAAATAAAATGATAATCAGTACTATCATGTGCTAGTATTTTAGGAAGTACTTTGCATAATTCTTTATTCAGTTTTAAGGGAAAATACTTATGAAATTGGCACTGTTTATTGGCCTCCTCTTTTGATTGTTCCTGTGTAAGATGCATTACAATAACTTGCAGACTGTGTCAATAATTTTATCCTAAGGTTTTTCAATTTTAACCACACAATTTAGTTTAAATAGAAAAGAGGAAAGTCAAGAAAAACTAATATTTTCTTTTCATAAGACAATTTTGAGTACTCTATTAGCAAATTATAGAAATTAAATCTCCAAATATCAGAAGAAAACTACACAATGAATGTAGATATGCATTATGAATACTAAAATTAAAATTGATGTAAAATACTTTAAAATATCTTTAAAGATTTTACCGTGAGAATCTCATAGGTGTCTCCATCTTCAAAGATGGGTACAGGAGTGTAATACAAACCATTGTAAAACATGTTCTTTTGGGGAATACAAGGTTCTACTCTGCCATCATCCAGGTTGAGACCATTGTAGAAATAACCATATAGTTCTCTATAAGGAAGCATGTTGTACACCTAGGAAAGACAGCACAGAGAATTTAAGTACTTTTAAAAAAGAATTATGGAATTAGAAAGTTTGGAGTTGTAATGACTTATTCTTACTCATTTCTATAAGAGAATGGAAATTATACTGTAATTCAACAATTTTATTCAAATTCTTCAAAAGAGAAAATTAATTTTATTTTAGGCAGTTGTAATGGTTTATGTCTAGATGTCCCCCAAAGCCTCATGTATTCATAGGGGGGATCTTTCAGAAGTGGCTGGATCTAGAGTGTGTGATGCTGGAATTAAGGATGCAATGCTGGAACTGATACACGGTACCATGCTAGGATTAAGAGTGCGCCACCTTTGGTGTGAATGCTACCCACACCAAAGGTGGGCAGCCTGGATAGGATATAAGGAACAGATAGCAAGCTGCAGTTGTTGCTTGTCACTTGCTGCTTAGCTGCTTCATTGTTTTGTGCCTTGCTACCTTCTGCCTTCTGTCTGCTCGGAACTGTTTCTCCTCTGCCATGCCACTCCATCTTGGAGTCATCCAACTATGAATTGAAACCTCTCCAAACTGTGAACTAAATAAAATTTTCTCCCTTTACCTCTGAGTATTGGATATTGTATCTCAGTAATGAGGACAACAGTCAATGCCATGTTTATTAATTTTTTCAGGAGTTGATCAGGATTTTGGACAGCATGTAAGACAGAGATTGCTTGGATTTATTGATGAATCCAAAGACTATGCATAGATAACTCATTGAAATTATAATGCTAGAATTCTTAACGGTATAGGAAAATGTTAGCTTTCTGTTTTCAAATATTTTTACATAACTTTCCAAAGGAAATATAAAATAAAAAATAACAATTAATGATGCCCATAATTTATTTGTTTAGCATCACTAGGACACAGGGCTAATTCTATGATCTTCAAATTGTTAATAAAGAAATGAACAGAGATTGTAGGGATGGTAAAAATTTAAGGGATATAAAATTGTAGAAGAAAGCATTTAATGTTTAAATATGAACTCTTGAACTCAAAGAGTGCAGGGAAAGGGTTTGAATCATTCTGGAAGTGGCTTCGTCTGAGTGCTATGTGGCCAGTGGAAAAGCATCTGATCAGCACAGGAAGGGTACTGACCCTTTGAGACAGGGCACTTAATGGAAGGAAGGAAGTAATAAGGTACGCTAAGGACACTATAGAAACAAGAGAAATAAACATGTTAGTCTTGTCATTTTTATTTCCATTAGCAACATTTGTCATTAAAAAATTTTAAATCAAAGTAACATAATAAGGATACTCTTTACCTGTGAACATTGTCCACACCAGAAAAACACAACTCCACACAGTCACAAAAGAATACAAAATGCAAACCAAAACATTTCTGCTGATGAAGTTGCTCTGCCAAAGTAATTAACTAAGCAAATAAATAGGAATAAAAAACTATTCTCAAACATCTAAGCATAACACCAGCTACCTACAACCAAAACAGATCTACACCCAGACATATAATAATCAAGATTTCAGAAATCCACCAAAAGAACACAATATTAAAAGCAGCCAGGGAAAAGAAGCAGATTACCTACAACGGGAAAGTTATCAAAATAACAACAGACTTAACAACACAAACTCTTAAATCAAGAAGGGAATGGGCAGAAATATTCCAAGTCCTGAAAGAAAATAATTTGCAACCAAGACTCATATATCTATCAAAACTCTCTCTCAAAATTAATGAAGAAACAAGATGCTTCCAAGACAAGGACGAACTGTGGGAGTTCATGGCCACCAACCCAACCCTACAGAGAGTGCTGAAGGACATTCCAGAGAAAGAGAGGAAGGGATACCAGGATTCCAGCAACAGTGGCAGAGAGGCCTCAATGAATGGGGCAGACAGTGGAATGAGGGAGTAAGGTGGACAAATTATAGCAGTAAAGTGGAGTAGCAGACATGAGGCAGAGATGGAATTTGTTTTGCTGTCTTATTATGATTTGTTTTTCCCTATAATACAAAGAGGACAGATATACATGTAGAAATTCACACATGAGAAGATTTTTTAAAAACTATTTACGGGAACAGATTATATAATACAAGATGTAATGAACAGATACTCTGAAGAAGAAGAGACACTAAGAAACCCAATGCTAATTCTGTAGCATTATGATATAAAATCTAGCAATACTATTATTCACTGATCAGAGTGATATTAGTCTAGTCTCTTAAGTTCAATTTCAGCATATGTAAAGATAAGGACAGCTACTACGAAGAGAATGAGAGACACTATGGTAGTTATTATTATCTTCCTCAATGTCAGATCTTGAAGACATAAAAAGCCTTCATCATCCTGTAATGATTTGATTAATTCTATAATATGCAGTATGTAGTTAATGTGTGTGAAGATGGGGACAAATATTTGAAAGAAACTAGAGACAATTAGATAAACAGTGAAGATCTCCAGTGGACTTGCTTTGAAATCTGTATTTCTTTAAATTGTTTTTTTCTTTTGAACTGTTTTTTTCTGCTTTGATATGTTTAATCTTACCCTCTTTAAGATAAAAAACAAGTGTGTAGGACTGATAACCATATTACGAAGTTTTTGTTAGATCATCAAGCAGAACTGTTGGCAGTGTCACTATTTGAATGACATTTTGCATATTTTATTTTTGTAACCTGAACAGCTATTTCTAAGATGACAATATGTAATTTATCAACTGGTGATTTCTTACCGTTTATTTTTCTGTAATTCTGTATTATTTCTACCCTTTTTTATATCCATGTATTTTTTTTTGTTTTTTTCTCTTTAAATAAAAAAAAATCCAAGCATAAATTAAATATTTCCAAACATGCATTGGGGGTATTTAGAAATCACTTGTGGGGCTGGAGATTTATATGCCTAGCATGTATCATGAATTAAAAATTTAATAAAAGAATAAAATAGACAAATACAAAGGGAAGTAAAATGAGAATTTATTGAACTCAGGTATAGATGAAATAGACAAAAAATGTCAGACATGAATTATAAGGTATAAATACCTCAAGAAAAAAAATGATTGAAAGAAAACTATATTTTTCTTGAACTCAAAACCTAGCTAAAGTTGGCTTCAAACTCCCACTGATCCTCCTGCGTTAATCTCCTGAGTGCTGGGATTACAGGTATGTGCCACCACCCCAGATGAAAGGAATCTTCAAGAGCAGCATAGAAAAGCTGGGTTTAGTGATGCATGCTTATAATCCCAGCAATGAAATCTGATACGGGAAGGTTAAATTCCAGGCCACTTTGGGCTACATTGTCACGTCAAGGGTGGCCTGGACTATGTTTTTTTTAAAAAGCATAGAAAACAAAAAACGAGAAAAAGAATAAATTAAAACAGGTCATAGGCAAAGCGGTTAAATCGAAAAGCAGGTAAAGAAAAGCGAATGGAGTTTTTTTTTAAAAAGGGAAAAATGGAAAGTTTAATATTTAAAATTACAATACGGGACCAATTTTTGAAAATAAAGCATTTGGGATTAATATATGGGTCAACTGTGTATCCAGTAAAACTTCTCCCATGCCATAAATTCAGAGAGATATTGTACAAACTATTGGAATTAAAATATAAAAAGAAAAAAACCCTTAAATGCTTTCAAACAAAATAATAAAATAACTTACTACAGAAAATGGATTTAATTGATGCCAAAAACATTTTGAAGCAACGATCAATACAAGGCAAGAGTGAAACAGTATTGCAAAAATATTTAAGAAAGTATGACCAAGGATTTAATATGCAGATAACCTGTTCTTCACGTATGAAGGCTTTAGAAGGATAATTACGAAGTGACTATCTGAGAAAGTTTAGCAGAGATTGAGGCTTATGTAACCAAAAGACATTAGAGGAGACTGATAACATTTTTAGACAAAAGGGTGGAACGCAATGCCTCATATACGAGATACAAATGCTACACCACAGACCTATGTCCCAGCCAAAGGACAACTCCTTTTCACTCTAATATATTCTGAGACCCATGCAAATGCCTCTGAAATTTTCTATTTGAGATCTCTTGATACTTATTTCTAAAGGCAGTTTTCCTAAGTTTTTGTTGTCTCTAGCTGAAGGAAGAGTGAGCAGTAGCCATGAAACCTTAGGGAAAAAAACTTATTCCACATTAATGGGAAAATTTGTCCTCAGATTCTGAAACTATTTAGAAGTTTCTCACTTTTATTTATAAATAATCTTAATTAATAATCTGTAGATTATTATTTAGATGTTTCTAAATAATTTCAGAAATTAAAATATAGCTTTGTATTGGAAAAATATAGTTATATCATGATCTATAGTAATTAAATATTATTAATTTCATAATTTAATACTTAATGCTTAAGGTAAAATATTGAAAGGAGAACACAAAGCTGGAGTTTTAAAATTAGATCTCAAGTTTATAAAAGATTGCTTTTAGAAAAGATGTTTTAAAAATTGCAATGAAATGCAAAAATGTGTTGGATTATGAGCAGTTTTAAAGATTTTTTTATGACTTTGTGTATTTTGCATGTATTCTACAGCAACAGAAAGATATGATTTTCATAATCAGAAAAATTTTAATTATTGAATTAAGCATATACATATCAGAAAGGTCATGTTTTCAATATGTATTTGTACAAAATCAAGTAAAATGTCCAACAATTATGAACTAGATTACTAGGGAAAAATCCAACAATTATGAACTAAAAATAGTTTTGATGTGGACTTCTGATGTTTCTGTCTATATAGATATCTACTAATTTATTGATTTATTGATGTGTTGGTGTTAGAGATCCAACACAGGGCTACCACAATACTAGGTAAGAGTTCTATCATTGACCTACACCCTAGGCCTGGAAATTTTTAAGAAAATTCTATCTCAGATATCAAATAATAACTTTAGACTGTCTCTAAGCATATCCTCCAAAACAGAGATTTATCTTTAACTCTCTCTAGGCATCTATATCTATGATTATACCTATGATTTTTAAAAACTTAACCTGTTACAATTATCTACACAAATTCTATATTACCAGTGCTGAGTTAGCCAAGAAAGATAATTAAGTATCTAACCCACTGTTATGGTTTGTGTCTTGATGTCCCCCCAAAGCCTCATGCAGTCATGTGGGTAGGCTTCTAGAGTTTATGATTAATTATTGGTTGAATTCTGGGATTATGAGTGTGAGTGCTACGCCCACCCTGGGGCAGGTAACCTATATACAGTGTAAGGGAGGGAAAGTTCTTGTTGCTTTTGCAACAACTTGAACTGTTGCTTCTGCTGTCTTCTGCCTTGAACTGTTGCTCCTCTGCCACACACCTTGCCTTGAAGCCAACTGATTATAAACTGAAATCTCCACAAATTCTGAACTAAATAAATTTTTCCTCCCTTAATTCTGGGCATCACGTGTTTTGTCTCAGCAATGAGAAAAAAGTAAAAGACACCCATAAATGAATAAAGGAAACAAACAATTAATATTTTCAACATATCATATCTCAAGTAAAATATCATAAAAGGGGTAAGACTAGGAGATAGGCAAAAAGGAGGAAATTGGTAGGCTTACGCTTTCTGCTGACAGCTGTTGCTCTGGTCTCAGTAGAAGGACACTTTTATCCACTGCCCGGAGGGCACAGAGTGAGTCAGGGGCAGCTTGAAGATAGAGAGTGGTATTGGAGCCAGGTAGCTCCTGCTCCTTAGAGAACTGTATGCTAACCTGAAGCATAGAAGGAAAAGGAATATGGGTAGAAACAATTTTATGTGAGAATAAATTCAACTTTTTCCAAGTAAATCCTGATAGATTTATGTAAGATATTTCTTCTGGACACTCTCTATTAATTGGTAAATTTGTTCTTTATTTGTTGATATTTCTTCAGGCTTTGAAATTTAGAAAGTCTTTGTATTTATTTATAAATAATCTTCATAAATATTCCTTATAGAGTATTTAAGAAGCTTCTAAGTAATTTCAGAAGTTGAAACATATTTTAACTTTACAGAGTCAAAGTATATAATTACATCATGATTTGTGGTTATTAAATGCCGTTAGCAATTTCATAGCTAAACTCTTTTTGCGGGAACATCTACTTCACCATTCTGCTGTTGTCTCAGGATCAGCACTGACGCCAAAGATAATTCAGTCTACTTGATGATCTTTCATCTCTTAGTAATTAAATTATGTCAACATTTATTGTGTAATTTCCACATCATGATTATAGTGGTAACATAAAAGAGGGTCAGCAGGGAAAAAACTGCTCACTCTTTACCTCCTGGACAGGCTAGACATAGAAGAAACATCACCTTGTTTTTAAAACACTGTTCAATCTGGAATTTGACACTATCAGCGACAATTTCCCCGCCGGGGTGAATGGTGTAGACGAACAGGACAGCCATAGGAGCCAGGTCAGCACTGATGTTGACTGATAATGAGAAGTTCCCATTCCAGGCTGGGTAAATAGATCAACAGACACAATATCAACAATGTCTTGCATCATTGGGTGTACTTAGATAAAAGTGAATTGGCTTGCGAAAAGAAAGAATAAATTGTACTTTTGTTTTAAAGGCAAATAAATAGAAATGCATATACAAATAAAATATTTCACAATTTACATGACAATAGAAAGACTGTAAGCATCATTTTTCTATAATGTACTTGGTGACCTAACAGTAAAAGAAAGAAACAGAAATCTTCTCTATCAAAATATTTAGTAGCTTCCCTCAAGTCATGCTAACTGCTGCCCCTACCCACAAATTGAAATAAGTACTCTAACTTCAACATTTTATTTCTCCTTAAAAAGTAAAAACATGCATATCAAGTACATATACAGATGAATGTATTATAAACACCTTTGTTTCTGAGTTCCTTTTGTCCACTGAGGATGATAGCGCCTTTCCCCATCAACTGTATAAAAGAAAGAAAAATTTTCAGGAGATATATTATCTAATATGATATTCTGTCATTATACAATTCTCTAATGTCAATTCTGTTCCATAGCATTAGGTAGCTTTCTCCAGTGAATAGTGAAAGTGAACTTTGCATATTTTGTAAAAGAAAAGAGTGACTACAATGGCCTGAGATCCTATTATGTATCAGTATGTGTGGGTGCAAGGTAGCAGCAGTTGTCCAGATCAATGGCTTCCACTCTGCCTACATCTAATGTATCAACTTCGTGGTTTAAAATAAGTTGCTCTGCCTTTTGCCTTTGTAAAAATGTGATCCCCAAACTTTATCTGTAAAATCTGCAAAGTGAGGAGTCTGTAAAAATGAGATAGCTGTAAGTCATGATTGCATTAGTGAATATGCAGGAGATTCTTTAACAATACCTGACACATAATGCTTAGCCTTGGAGGCAAACCTTATTACTTCCAATTACAAAATACAGCTGAGAAAACAAAAGTTTAAGAGATTTTAAATATGATGCTCCAATTTGCACGATCAACCAGAGAACTAGGATGATTTGAACTCTGAAGGGGTCTTAATTTCCAAGTGTGTGTTTCTTGCTCTTCCGTATGTATTGATGAGACAAAGTGGACAGAATCAAAATAACTAATTCCTTTTACTGCTTACCAAAATGAGCCCTCTATTTTATTTTCTGTGTTCTGCTTACATTTTTTTCATCATAAAAGATTTTAAATACTCGAAATGAGTTACCATAACTTAAAACAGCAGACTGACTGGAGGGATTTTCCAAGCTTAGGGAAGTGAGGTTGCTTGAGCTCTTGTTATGTGTTTGTGTATTTGCTTGTTATTAATGGATCCAACATAATTCACTAGCAAGGTGAGAAGCTTGAGGTTGCTCAGATTAACAGGATCAAAGCACGGTGCACTCTAAACTGCTATGCTCAGCAGACACAGATGGAGCTGCTCAGACTTACCAAATAGAAGAAATTCACATTTGAGACATTCTTATATGCTTCTTGGTTTAGGGAGTAAAGCACAGTGATAATCTTCTCTTGGTCACATCTCAGCTGCTTCGGTTCGGGCACAATCTTCAGGAAGCTGTTAGTCCGGGAGTAAAAACGTGAGACAACAAAGAAGGCATCCGAATAATGGGGTGTCACCCAGCTGGGAAGATGGCAGCTCTGGGGTTGAAGGAATGAGGCCTGACATGGTGAAAGAGAGAGGATTTTAGAGCCTTGAAGACTCCTAGGACAGGAGCTCCCACAGAACAAAAGCCTTCCCATCTCTGCAAATCAAGGAGGAATCCTACTTTGTGGCTGATAATTCAGTGTTAATTGGAAATGAAATAAAATAGTGTTTGCCACTACTTTATCACAAAACTGATCACAATTTTCTGAATAGTCCATCAGTCTAACAATGAAATGGTGGTAATTTTTGCTTTTTGATTGAAGTCAGAGAACTGGATCTAAACTCCCCAGTTTCTTTCAGCTACATTTGAAAACCAACACAATTTTGCAGTTAAAACATCTTAACTGTAAAATTCTGTTTAAGCAGCAGAAAAGAGAATTATCTTTCTTATCTCTGCATGAAAAGATGTAAGAAAAAAAGCAAAATTTTCTTCATGCAGCTCAGAAGAAAATGTGGTTATTATAGAATTTGTACCAGTTGTAACAGGCTATCATATTCCCTTCAGCTTGAACAAATATGCTCATACTTAATAAACAAACATATTGTATCAAATATGCTGACTTTTAAGAATTGCTAACATTTAAAACCCCTAAAAGTCACATGTTTTGGGGCCCATGTAAGTCCTCATCTATCATTTGGTCGTTTGGTGTCTTACTTTCAAGGAGAATGTAGGGTCGTAAATGTCCGAGGTGTCAATGGAAAACTGAGCCTCGCCATTCTCATCTGTGGTGTAATTCCCTATGATTCTGCCATTGAGCTCCAATTGCAACAACTTGCTCACCAGAGGCACATTACTTGGACCATAAAATTTAAGCTGTACCAAAAAAAAAAACAAGCGTTAATTTTCTTAAAATATAAACATTTAATATTTCTTCAGGAAAAGTTTTCATGTTCATAATTGTATTCACTCGATAGTAATTTTCTTCAATGTGGATGAACAGAAAGATGTTCAGCTAATTGTATTTTGGACAAATTATATATATATAAATATAAAAATAGGTATAATTTTATATATGTTCTTTAGCTAGGACTTTTTTTTTATATCAGACACAGTGAAGACAAAAATGTATCATGAAAGTAGGAAAAAATATCCAGAAATTACCAAACAGTACTCTGTGATCCATGAAAATAAATCAGGGATAAGTATTTTTGGGGGGAGGCCAAACCTACAGTTCCAAAATAAGAAATTCCTCTTCTATAGACATTGTCCATGTTTTCAAAGTGCACACTGCCAAGCAATTCTGTGATAGCAATAGAAGTTTTTGTATTGATCTGCACACCTGTAAAAAGTGACAAAACACAGTGTCAGAAAGGAAATAATATTTGTTTAATAATTTTGGAACTTCATACATAGCTAGGTGGTAAAACATTTGCCTTACAAGAGAAGGACTTGGGTTGGTATTCCTAGTACTGCAAAGGGAAAAAAAAATCAAAAGAAAAACTAGTTTAAGATATAGCTGATAATTTTCTAAACACTAATTTGCATTTCAAATATATTTCCCATTTATATTTTCATTTACATAGAAAAGAAAATATACTTTGAAGTATGTTTCAGCACAGTGTATTTCTGTTTATAGTGTTCTTCAAACTCAGTAGAGATACTAATATATAGATGAAGGAGAAAATTTAAATTCTTTCCTCTTACTAATCTACTTAGTTTTGGCTTGGAACTTCTTTTTATAATGGAGAATGTCATGAGTATCTCACATAAAAGTGTTTTGTTTTTTAAATCTATTTTTTAAAGACTACTAAATAACTGTGTAGTATTTTGACTTTGCCAGCACTGAAAAGTATCTGATAGGAAAGTACAGTAAATAAAAATGCCTTGTGATTTCATAAAAACAAATGAATAGGTGGAATAAAACATATTGAGCTAAGTTACTATAATAGTATAAAAGTGACAAATTTACCTATTGTAAAAGTTATCACAATAATGACCAAACATATTTACTAAATGATAATGATAAATAATATAATCCTACTAAATAATATGATCCCAACTCCTTTTTAAGTAACAAGAAATAACTAGTAATTTAACTGGTCCAAATTAATTTTTACGTCTTCTTTTTTCATTATTTTAGCAATTATTTATCGAGAATTTGTTGTAAGTAATTTTGTAAACTTCTCCCTAATGATTATTAGGTAAGCAGAAGTTCTCAGTTGTTCAAAATCTGGGGTCAGCATACTTTTTCTGCGAGGAATCTGATATTTACTTCAAGATGAGGACCACACAAGGACTTTGATAAAACTATCCAAGCTTGTAGCAGTTAAACGAGGCAAACAAATGAGTACGGCTCTGTTCCAAAAATCCTTCATAAAGATATAAGCAGCGATCTGGATTTGACATCTCAAAAGTGTAGATTGTAAACTCTGAGGATTAAACCAGAGATCACACACTGGAAATTACTTACCAACTAATTTACACAAAGTTAAAAAGATATAGCTATTTGATTAGCCCACTTCTACTACTTCAAATAAAATCTCTTCCTCTGATTGATTCAATCGTAGAAGCATACATACATGTGTAATCTTTATGAGATTATTTTATTTTAAATATTGTTAGGAAAATTTTATTCAAAAGCAAATTTTATTCAAAGGCAACAACTGCAATTTTTTTTACCACTTTAAGCAACAATTTATGTCCCTTTGTGCACATTGCTAACTCAAATTTATCTCAGTGAGCAATCATGTAGCCCCAGATTGTCCTTAAAAGGTTATCATTACCTGTCCCAGATTCTGTCACAATTACATTGATGTGAAACGTCATGAAAAGTCCAGAACGATTGATTTGGAAAACTTTTGTATTCACAGTTTGAGAAACACAGCCATTTTTCAACTGAAAAATAAAAGAGAAAGTGTAATGGAAAAGTTAAGAATTTAAGTCTTGGGAGCTGGGGATTTAGCTCAGCGGCATAAGCACCTGCCTTGCAAGCAGGCAGTCGTGAGTTTGATCCCCGGTACTGATAAAAAAGAAAAAGACAAAATAATAATAATAATAATAATAATAATAATAATTCAAGTCTTTTAAAAATACCAAAATTTAGCATAGGTTTATAATCCCCTCTATCCTGGCTCAGTCTCATAAATTGTTGAAATGATATAAAACATTAAGGGAGAAAGAGGGGAGGAGGAGAAAATACATTTCAGCAGCATACCAGGCAGATAAAGAAGGTACATGTGGTTGGAAAGTTTTTTTGGAAGCTGTGTAGATGGGCAGAGACATTAGAATGTTTAAGAAAATAGAGCTGAGTGATGATTTAAAAGAAATTAAAACCATCTTTATCTACACTAAAAACATACAGAAGTGTTCTTTATGTAACATCAGAAAGGTCTCATTTAAAGTCAACTGATTATTTAAAACAAGGAAAGTAATCTTTCACTGGTAACGTGAAGAATCAGAAATACGTAGACTTAGCTATATTTAAAAAAATACTGTCACTATCTTTTGAATGTTAAAAGGATATATCAGTTTATCTGATCTTCAAAATTATCATATGTTCTAGGCACCAACATCATGCCCATTGTAAGGATGGATAAACTAAAGCAGAAGTACATTTTCTAACCTGAGGTCAAACAACTAAAAGGTGCTGGAGCTAACTATTTATTCTGGTATCAGAGTGTATTCTCCTCTGAACTGTCAACCATTACACCAATAACATAGCAAACAATTCTACTTTAATCATAGGAACATCAAATTAAAAGGCACTAATATAAAGCAATGAGAAGTACATTGAAGTACTTTAGTTTTCAATAATTCTCAAACAGAAAAAATATCTGGTAAAACATTAAAATCTAGATATTAGGATAAAGGGAAAGTTCTTTGTATCAAATGACATTAAGCTCTGGTTAAAAAAATGTAGACTACGGAATGTGTTTATTACTACATAAAGCCACTGACAACATACTCTGCATCGGTGAGTGCACAGCCATGGTCTCAAACAACCATCGATAGAGAATATTTGGGAAATATTCATCCATACCAAGGAGAAACAAACTTTTTCCTATTCTTTAAACAATTCCCTATAATGAAAGAACTCTTGAGGATATAGGGGTAGGCAAGAGTTCATGAGCAAAAACCAAACTGCATGGGAAGTACTTCAAAGAATCAAAAACTGGGATCTTGTCAAAAAGTTTTTGCACATCTAAAGACATCACCATCAGAGTGAAAAGAAAACCCAGAGATTGAGAAAAGATTTTTGCCACTTGTCCCACAAAGGACTTTTATCTAGAACAAATAAATAATTGAAAGAAATCAGGCCTCCCAAATTTAAAGACCCAGTGCAAAAATACATAGGAGATGAATACACATTTTTCAATTGAAGAAACACAAATGGAAAATAAATATATTAAAAAATGTTTGGCATCATTGGTCATTCGAGAAATGAAAATTAAAACTACACAGAGACATCATCTCACTCTGGAAAGAATGGCTAACATCAAGAAATTAGCCAATAACAAATGCTGACAGGGCTGTGGGGAAAAAGGAACCCTTCTCCACTGCTGGTGGGAGAGTAGACTGGTGCAGTCACTAGGAAATCAGTATGGAGATTTCTCAGAAAACTAGGATTAGAGGTTCTACTTGACACAGCTTTTCTCCTTTTGGGTATTTTCCCAGAAGAACTGAAAACGTCATACCACAGCAATATACATGCGCCCATATTTATAGCAACACAATTTGTAATAGCTAAGTCTTGAAAACAACCCAAATACCCATAAACTGAGGAATGGATAAAAAAGCTGTGGCATTTTTATATGATAGAACACTACTCAGACGTAAAGAATGATAAGCTTGAGGTTTTTATAGGTAAATGAATGCAATTAGAAACCATACTCAAGTGAAATAAATCAAACTTGCATGTGTAAACAGCATATTGTCTTGGTAGTATAAAAAGCTGAAAGAGTAAATAAGATCCAAAATAGATTTAGTAAAAGAGAAAGAAACTTCTCAAGGGGAAATTTTATTGTTTGATCAGTCTTGCATGCCTGTATGTGGTAGCCTGAACAATTATTCTGAGGATAATATGCAATGTAACAACCATTGTTAAATTCCTAAAAAAATAAAAAAAATAAAGAATTCACTGCAACAACTATTTCCATTACATTTATATTAGGTACTATAAAATTATAAAATAATAGATACAAGTAAATAATGTAATAATTAAGTACACTGAAGTATTCTGCAGTGTGCATCAATTACATGCAAATCAATGTCATTTATTGTAGGGAGGCTGAACATCCATAGAATTTAGTACCTATGGAGATTCTAGACCCAATTCCTGGGATGCTGAAGAATAAAACATATTTAAAAACAAGTTGATCAAAAAATATTAGGGAAAAGAATTAATACAATGAAAGATAGAATAAATGATTTTTGAACATAACATTAACAAAAGAAATAAAATTATGAAAAGTAATAAAATACACAAATCTCTAAAAATTATCTAAAGGAGGGACAGAAAATCATATAAGACAGTGCTAACACAACTCAATACCTATCTAGAAGAAAAAATTTTATTTTAGAAATAATAAAAATTAATCATATGTTTACTGGAGAAATTTGATCTTAAAGCATACTTAGCAATTTATATATATAAAAGGGGCAGGTCATAGATTTTTTTTCTTTGCTGCGGTCCCACAAATTTTAAGAAATTTTGTACAGTATGTTAAAAACACTATAATCCCAAAGTCCATTATTTGAATGATATAAATAAAAGATGATAAATTTTTTCTTAGAAGATGGAGGGTGATATTTATAATAGAAGACAGTTGCAGTTTTATGTGACCAAGGAAAAGATATAATTGAAAGTTCTTAAAACATCAAATCCAAATAACAAGAGTATGAAAAAGATATTTCAATTAGCTAATAAATAGGTTATATAAGTAAATTTGTGTCTACCAAAATAACAAAATTTTCAAACTCCTAAATGTATTGTTAGACATAACTTAGGAAATGTAATATTCTCATATATTTTCTGACAAGTACTTAAAATACTCTGAATAGAACTAAAAATTTAAATTATCTACCCACATCTCTCCATATCTCCCTCTATTCAGGAAATTCATGTTAAAGAACCCATTTCAAATAAATAAGACCTGTAATATATGAAGATAGTTTTATCTGACTGCTTACTAGTGTATTTCCATACAGGAAAAGTTTAAATATTAATTGATGAAAAAATATATATGGCAAAATATTAGAATAAACTACACTATAATGTAATCTTAATGGGTTAATGTATTGCTGATAGACAATGAATTTCACTTAGATTTTCTTAGCTCCATTTCTATGTGAAGATAGAATTTTGTCTATTAGTTAATTATTGACATTATCCAGAGAATATGCACCAAACTTGGTAACTTCATGTTAAATGATGAGAAATTATCAACCATATAGTATTGCATGTAAATATTTCACATTTAGAGGTCCAAAAGCAATTCTTAAATAGTTGGACAGTTATTCACTTAAGGTTAAGGTGCTAGAAATAGAACAGGCAACTGGAGGCTTCAATTTGAGCGGCAGTACCTGAGGGTAGAGCTCAATGATAGCATGCTTACCTAGCACACAAGGACCCCTGTTTTTGACACGTGAGGAGACAGAGAGAGAGAGAGGGATAGATAGAGAGAGCGAGAGAGAGGGAGAGAGAGAGACAGAGAGAGACAGAGAGAGAGAGAGAGAGAGAGAGAGAGAGAGAGAGAGAGAGAGAGAAAGAGAGAGATCTGCATGTCTAAAATATTGCAAATAAGCTGTTTTTAAAAGGAAAATTCTAGGTTGTATAGTGAATAATATTGTAGGATTATTTCTTTAGAGGATGATTAATGATTCTCCAAATAAGGATTAGAAGACCACCTAGACAGTATGCTAATAAGATGTTTTCAAGTTGTAAATTCCAAAAATTCTATAGATGAATCACAATGAAAAATATTATTTTAAAAATTGTGTTTTGTCTTCTTTCTTTACCTGCAACCTCCATTATCCACAAAATGAAAATAGTGTTAAGTCCTTTTTATAAATGCAATCAAAGAATTAATAAAAACAAATATGAGTGAAACCTTTTATAAGCAGAGATCATGGTTTGTACCTGTGCAACAAATTGCTCACATATTTCATTGACGCCTTCCTCACAGCCGGTAGAAGCCAACAATTCTCTGCATACTCGGATTTGGGCTTTTCCCTGTACAGGGCCGCCGTAGGTGTACCTAGTGGAAAAGGTATGGTTATGATTACAGGGGAATGATATCATAGCAAGCTATAGAACAGATAAATAAAATTAGTTGCAACATTTTATTTACCAGAAAACATGCATATAAGTAAAGATCGAATGTTTCATGATCTTGAACAATTTCCAGATCAACGTTTTAAACAATTCTTACTTAACCACCATTGAATAAATCTAAAAGGAGGGGGACTGCTTAAACTGGATATATTTTGACTGAACATGTGATCAAATATATATCTCATTTTCTGATAAACAAAAGCATATATATTTTGTTTTAAAAGTTCAGTCAAAGAGAATTTCAGTGATTATGAGTGTTTTCTCTTAACTTGAGGATTCTTTCCACTTACATCTAGGGAATAGAAAACAAATGTTAAACTCATGTGTAATAAAACTGAATATTATTAAACTAATAGATTATGATACTTTTTCTGATTGTTGTACAGTAAAATATATATTACATGCTTACCTATACAATTTCATTTATTTTCTGAATGACTGACTCGTAAATGGAGATCACATCACTAACTTTTCTGCATCATTACTAGTGAAACGAAATTAGTCAGTTTCATTTCTCCCTACAGTCCTTGCTCACTCATTGCACCACATTAAACTTTCTGGTTCTATTTAAATTAATCTATGTTTTTGACATTTTAACTTAACCTAAATCACTTAAATTATTTTATCAATTACATGTGAAATAGAAAGTTGACTGAATAAAAAAATTCAGTTTATTCACAAAATAAAGAAATATGGTTTTTCTTATTTCTTGTCTTTTACTTATTAAAATGGAAAAAAAGAGAAAATTCTTGTAGTATTATCTACAGGTTAGTACATATCCCTGAACCATGAGGTTTACATCCTCAGGGAGGACAAAATAACCTTCCCCTTTGCGATTTGAAAACTTTGACTTATTAACATCTCTTTGCCTCTAGGAAAATTTCCTTCCTTAAAACTCTATGACAAAAAAGAATCTTCTGACACCAATTAAATAAAATGATTTAAAAATATGAAAAATATCAATATTATTAAGTGTTCAATTATCTGTGAGATTGGTACCCAAGAAAAACATCCCAGGTGTAAATTTCAGTTTTGTCATAAAAAACTCCATTAATGTTGATAAGTTATTACAATTTTGTGCTTTATTAACTGTATAAAATTGAAATGATACTCATTTCTATTTCATAGTCTGGTAGTAGTTGCATAGTTGCTAACTACTATGCAATTACTACGCAGTTGTTAATTACTATGCAATTATACATAGTTGTTTACTATGTTAACACAAAAAGGGATCAAAATCATTAGAAGTAACTTCTCAAAAAGAAAACAAAAATTTTCAAGTCACCTAAGATTTTTATTTAAGAAGACTCAAATGAGTTGAAATTAAATTATTCATTTATGTCATTAGAATACTTTTGATAATATTTTTTCTAAAATGGGAATACTCAACAGTGATTTAGCTTCAGTGAGGTAGGTGCTTTTATACCAGCTGTTGTAACTGTACACTGGCATGTTATAATTGCTGAACAAAATAATGATGAAAGCCTAGAAAAATGTTAAATATTTGTCTTTGCAACTCTGTTTATGGAACTCTTTTCTAAGAAAACAAGATCTTTTAGATATATAATTAAAAATGCGTTACTATACACCTGGACCAAAATGTGTATACTACCAATTATTAATTACTAGGAAAACAAAAGGGGAGGCTACATGTTATACAGTAAAACAGTAGTTAAGCAGCATCTAGTATGATTATATAAAAAGTTTATGCAGTGGGAATTGGAACAGATGAAAAGATTACTGTAATATGGAAATACATTTTCTTAAATTTTGTAGTTAGAAAACTATCATTGCAATCATGAAAAATATTCATAAAAGATTAGAGGAAAATAAATCACAATGTTAATGGTAATAGAATTACTTATAGCTTGTGTGGTTTCTTATAATTATTAAAATATTCAAAAATTCTCTAAGTATTTTAATGTAATTATGTAGATAAAGTATTATGATTAAATTTAAGTGTTATTTCCACTGAGCTTTATGTTTACTTGCAGGGGCAAATTTGAATAAAAACTTACTTGGCACACGCATCCACCTGAAATTCATCATCTGAAATAGTTATTGTTTCTGGTGCGCTGACCTGAACTTCAAACTTAGGCAACACTGAAAACACAGAGAAGCATACTACTGCAGTCACGAAGCTACTTATGCCTTTGAACCCAGTATTTTCCTGCAGGCGCACTGTACTGGCTGTTTCAATTACCCCGATACACCAGGAGCAGGTTCGTCCACGGAACGCGCTAGCAGCTCATAAAGTATCAGTTTTTATTTTTCATTTTTCTCTCATTTGTCCTCTGAACTTCACTTTCTCTTTCTGTTGTAATTGCATAGATAGTTTCTAGGACACTGTCTGGATTCTAGGAAATGGGTATGCTTCCTAGAGGAAAAGCACGACAGGAATGTAGACACGGGGCAAGGAGCGAGAAAGGATTGAAGAGACACTAGAAAGGGGCAAGAGAGAAGACCTCAGAAAATCAAATCGTTTCCCTGCTTTTACCTAAGCTAAACATAAAGGTTTTGTTCAGTTAATTTGAACTCATTACATAGGATAATCAAAAATAGGAAATCAGTTACCATCTTTATTAACAGTAAATTGATGTGTCCATGTCTGTCCTGATTTTCCCTCCACAGCAATTGTATAATCCCCAAGCATGGGTTCTGAACTCAGTTGAAATGAGAGTTGAGTAATATTTTGGAAAGGAATGACATTTTTCCACTGAAAAATCATATTGTTTTGAGGATCCTGAAAAATAAAGACAATTCGAGATAAGATGCTAGTAGTATCTTTTCCTTCATTTTGGTATTTTCTATAGTAAAAGATGTGTTACCATTATGTTAAATTTATTATTTCAAATCATCAGAATCATGTAACTTGCCAAATATATTCAAATTCAGTCATAAAGCATGTCTTTCTTGAGACTAAAAAAGATAAAACTCATAACTGGTAATTTACAACTGAAATCCATAATTTAGAAATAATTTAAATTTTATTTTAATCTTTATGAACCAGAGTTACTTAATAAAAGAATTGAGAAGTCAATATATTTGCTTCTGAGTTGTGTTCCCCAAATTAAAATGGACTTAACCAACAAATGCAAAAGAAATATTCACCTAACCAATATGTATCAAAATAGACACAGATTTTTGCTTGGTCTCTTTATGACATGGTCATGGGTATGCACTGCACATAAAACCTGTCAAATGGAAGCTCTCTGATAAGGAAAGTTTAGAATATTACCTTTTACCTTTCATTTGATTTGAACAGATGTAGCTCACATCACATGAGTTAATAATTTTATACCATCTAATTCTCACAAATCCTCACAAAAGATCTCTACAAAGAAAGCATACTAGTATAAAACCCAAGATTGTGTATCATTAGTTTTAAAAAGAAACAAAACTATTACTTGTTTTTAAGTAATTTCTCAGGTCTTCATTCAGCTAGGGTTAGCCATGTGACCAAGTGCTGGTCAATTAAATGTAGCAGAAGCCACTGGGTAAAAATTCTTTTTTAAAATGAATTGGATTTAATTGGCTTTAAAAGCCAGCAAGCCACATGTTGGACGTGGAAGACAGGCTACACAGAAGCAGCCTGGGTTCTTGATAATATTGTGCAGTTGTTCTAACTCTAAATGTCTAAACTTAGATTTCGTGGTTTACGAAAAAAAAAATTGCTCACTTAGGCCAATGTTAGTTTTCTGTTGCTTACAGTGGGAAATGACATTTTCTGAATGCAGGTGTGAAAATAATACAATTTGTGGATTAGTAATTGTGAAGAAAATATGGAACTGCCTACTGGAAAGGTAGCTTATTGTAAAGATAATCTATTTGCTACCTATGTAAAGTTGAAAACATTCAAACCATGAAGAAGACAAATCGAACTCCATATTTACATCATTAACTATCCTTCAGAATTAGCTAATAATAATGGCAGACACTGTAGTAGAAAAAATATGTATGCTGGATTGATTGATATAATTTATTGATAGTCATACAATTTCAAATATCTCTGAAGGTCATGCTACTCTAGAGATTTAAGCCTGTTATAAAAGGCTAATAAAAGGAGACTGTTAACCAACTTCTGAAAAGTAACTTCTGAAAACAGAATCCATTTTACAATGAGTGATACCACCTTACAGTGTATTTCTACATTTTAAAATGTCTGTGTTTTCTATTTCTTTTAAAATAAGATATGGGTTATTTAAGATAGGAAAGGACCAGGAACCAAAATTAAGAAAATTAGGAAATTATTAAAGTATGATATTTTATACTCCATAAAAGTCAAATTATTGCATTTGCCCCATACCCTGCACTAAATTCAACAAACTTTCTTGTAGCTCTTCACCTGATACCTACAGGTATATATATGCACACCAAGACATCTGCTTCCCTTATCTCAGTCATCTTAATTTATAAATGTGCAAAAATGAAATTTAAACACCTCATTAATTATTTAAATGTTTTAAAGAATGGGTATGTAAAACAGAGCTCTTACCTGAAGTGTGATTGAAGGATACTGAAAAAGAAAAATGAAGATTAGTAGTACATTATTTTTTTGCCAAATATTCACTATATTGTGTAAATCATACCCATTGGCACTCTCACTTCCCCAGGGAATCAAGTGTCTGTAGCTAAAGATGCCAAAGACACTCTAAGTGTGAAAGAGATCCCCAGCCTCCTCTGCGATGTGGAAAGCAAGTTCCATGCAACCCATGGCTTCTTCATGTGATGCAGATATCTGAGGGAATGTAAATCAAATTCAGTATAAATGAAAATTTTACATTTAAACATGAGATTGGCTTGCTATTTCACCTTGGAACCTTACCTGGAAAGCTCCCTGAGGACACTTTGTATACCAATGGATTTTCATATCTTTAAATTTTATAGTACCATTAGAAATTATCAAACTCACCAAATCCTCAACAGGTTTGAACTGAGTATCCAGTGTCACAGCACGAAACTTAACTAAAAGAGAATGGAGTGATACTTTTCTTATTTTCTTTTAAATTTAATTTTAATAGATATAGCAATTAATTGCCTTACTATCGCAGAATACTAAGCTTCCTGTTTCTGTGAATTTCATTTGACCCTTTGAGATTTGGGTTCTACTGGGAAAGATCGCTTATGTATGTTTGCAGTTCTATTAATGATTTTTGCTGCTACATGGGTTGACACTGGGAACCAAAAGAAACTTTTTCTCTAATAACCCATAGAAATTTCTTCAGACCTGATAACAGAACTAGCAATTGAAGCGCAAATGTGGAATATGTATGATGGAAGATAAACATAATTATCCCGGAAAAATATATAAATATAGCAAAATTTAATTTTAGCAGCATTACAAAAGAAAGATTTTAGCTTTTTTGTGTATTTATGTATCTATACCTAGATGTATATTTATTCACCATAACATTTTAGTAAGTCTAGAAGAAGAAGTAGAATGTGTCCAAGCTATCACTTTAAGAATTAGTATTTTATTTCTTTTCAATAAATATTATACATTGGTGCTATCAAGAAAACAAAATGTATGGATGATTTTTTACCCTTTGTTTTATAGATGACACAATTAAATTTCAAACTATTAAAATAAAAGTTAACTCGGCAAAATCCAGTAACAGAGAGACAAGATCAAAACCAAACCTTCCTGAATACTAGGTTGGAGTTCTTTTTGTTACTTTTATTTACAAAAATAACAAATAAAATAGAAATGCTTTGCATAGATTTATCAGGTGTGTGGTTATATCTACACCAATAAATAATAACAAAAATAAGTATTATTTATAAGATATTTACTGTGTAGGCACAATTGTAGCTTGGGTCTTTATTTTACTGTTACTATATTTCTCTGAGAAACTTTCACTACCTTTATAGGTAAAGCTATTGAGACTATAAAGAGAATCAATTACTTGCACAAGTGGCCAATTATGGAGCAATTATTTAGACCAAATAGTTATACTTCACTTTCCATGCTGGTTACCATTACATTATGGAGGCTTGTCACTGGAACTTGCATGCATTGAAAGGGTGGGCAATATTTTATGAAACAAGTCAAAAGCAAACTAATGAAGTCAGAATATTATCTTACTCTTCTCTCCAGGTTTATAGATGGGTTTATCTGTCTGCCCAAAAGTTACTGTTTCTTCTGAAGAGACTGCTACAGATCTTCTCTCAAAGATTTTAAGAGTATCTCCCTTCACCAACAATGTGATAAAAGCCAACTGTTCGGAGGACTTGTGAGAGACCTGTGTATGCAGGAGAGTGAAGAACAGCAAAATGATCATGTCTTAATTAGGCTTGTCAGGCAGAGAGAGCCTTATAAACTCATTACTTCCTAAGGAAAGATTTGCTCATCGCCAGTTACAATTGCTTAATTTATGAGAGAATAATAATTTAGGTTGATGTCTTCCTTTTTTCTCTCCCTCTTTCATGGATGAGACTTTTTGCCTCTTCATCTAAATTGGTTTTACTCATACTGCAAAACATTTTTGCTATATAAAATGCAGCAATAATTCATCAAGTCCTATCAGAGTGATAATATTTCATGTTTTGCTGCATATAGAAATGCTCTTTTTATGTTTTGCCTCCCTAGAATTCCTAGTTTTCTTTTTTTTTATCTTTCACAAGTCATTCAAAATCAAGATTTAAAATCTAAAAACAATCATAAGCAATGCTTTCATGTTTCCATCTACAGTCTTCAATGTTAAATTCAGTACCTTACCTTGAAATTCGCACAGGCATAGACGGTGTCCTCTTCCACAAGCAGATCAAAAATAGTAGTATTAGATCCATCATATTCTAAGACAACATTCAAAGATACAGATTCATTAAGGTTTAAAAGATGGAGACAAGCTTTTTCCATGTAGTAGCGCTGCACCACAGTGGAGACCCATAGGATGTATTGGCTGTACAAAGAAAGTATCCAAAACTTATAAACAAGCTTAGGAGACATGGAGAGCATCCACAAAAAGCAATATTAGCAGGTCAAGTATTCCTGAAACATATACACTCTCATATGTAAAGTTATAATAATCTTGGCAAACAAAGATAGTGGTATGTTAGGAATAGATATTCATTCCCTTCACATTTGCTTAAAATTCATAGGGCAAACAAGCACTGTCTCAGAAGTTGAAATGGTAAGATATGATCATATTTAACATGAAGATCTTTTTGTTTCACTTTGTTTTTTGGTACCAGGATTCAAACTCTTCACCTTGCGCTTGCCAGGCAGGCACTTACGACTCTAAGCTAACCCCCAGTCCAACATGAAACATTTTTAATAAAGTCATATTGCTAGTACTTTAACATAAATAGAACGTAATATTTCCTTACGGGTTTGAAGCCACAGCAAAAGTGAAATGAAGCAAAAAGGTGCATAGCAAAACAGTAGGCATCATTCTGTCTCAATGGCTGAACAATGACAAATTGAAGTTATTCTTTTCCCTCTTACTAGAAACCAACTGCCTCTCTCTGCATTACTCCCTCTTTCTACTCTACCTCCCTCTCTGCCTTTTTGCTTTTATAGTTACACACAGTCAAAGATCAATTACTTTTTGGAGCAGATACTCTGGAACCCACCAATCACAATTAGAGTACATCTTCCATTACTTCTCCAGGGGATATTCCTTTATCTAAAATTTCCTGCTTAATTTTACAGGTGCTGCTCTGTTTTGAAGTCAGCAGCACAAGTTGGACAGGAAGAAAGAGAAAAACAAAGTGGTTGTGTGACACTTAAAAGTTCAAACTATTTTAGGACTTCCATCACAGGACCTACTGAGCCATCAAAAATGTTATGCATAGGAATTAGGAAAACACTTCTCTAAAGATCTGATAAAGATCTGTTAACCATGCCACTTGCCAAAAGGTAAATGTTGTAAGCTACTGAGAGAAGTATTATGGATGTTGCCAAAATATGATGCAAACAGATATGTCAATATGGGATCATTTTACAGGTGATTGAAGTTGTCAAGTTAGTCTTTTAGAATTTCATAATAGAGAATTCAACATTCAAAATGCTTATCTACGTTCAACACATAATATGATTTCTTAGCTAGGTGCTATGCTCAACTTTCCTATTACAGCGATTAAAGAAATGAAAGAAAAGATAACAAACACACACAACACCATTTTTTTTTGAAAAACAACAGTGCTTTATAATAATTTTAACTTGGAAACAGTGTGTTATCTCATCTGCTCTCTCTTTGTTTTGATTTTTTTGAAACTGTTCAAGACAAGCAAACTCCAGGGATTCATCATCATTAGATTGTCCCTGTAAAAAATACTAAAACATTGGATCCCCAGTACCAAAACAAAAATAAAAACCTCCCAAAAAACCCTCAAAACAAACTTAGAACAAAATCTACTTCTAAATGAGAAAGGCCAATGAGCAGCATCATGAAAACATGGAAGGAATAAAACTTACTGGTTAAGGATATACATAAATGAAAAAGAGAAAGAATCCAGTTCTATCATTTTAGAAAACAACCAAACCACAAAGATAACATATATATGTATACAAGAGGAAAAGGAACAAAGAATATGCAAAGCAATAAAAGTTTTCACAAAATTACAGAAGTAAATTATTTTTGTTGTTTTGGTCTTTTTCCTTTTTATTGGTACCGGGGATCGAACTCATGACTGCTTGCTTGCAAGGCAGGTGCTTATGCTGCTGAGCTAAATCTCCAGCCCCAGAAGTAAATTCTTACTTAACAATAATAACCTTGAATATAAACTGATACAGAGTGACTGAGTAGGTAAACAACAAGACCCAATTGTATTTTGTCTACAAGAATTTTCACTACTAAAAATGTACATAGATAAGAAATGAAATTAGTAAATATTGCATTATCTTTCCAGTGAAAAACTAATAAAAACTGACAGAATAATGGGATCCAAAAAGTATAATAGATATGGTGGAAATGAAAGGGAAAGTGCTCTAAAGAGTATAACAGTGTGTGTAGTGTGTAAGATAGATGACCACATTACTGAATCTCTGTTGGAACACTGAACACAAGGATTTGCACTGTCATTGTTTGAATATTTAGTCACTACTTATGCTTTAATTTTTTGACTTTAGCAACTATTTTTTAAGATGACATTGAGTAACATATTGACTAGTGATTCTGTGATGATAATTTTTTGAATTTTGTATTGTTCTATCCCTGTTTTCTGTTTTTCTATTTTCTTTCTTTGAAAAAGAGAGAACAACACGCAATATAACAACCATTGTGAAATTTCTATCATTTTGTTTTGAAAACCTATATTATTATTGTTTTGAGTTCTACTGTTGTTGTTTTGTTTTGCTGCTTGTTTTTATTTTCTGACTTTTCTCTTTTTAAAATGAAAAAAGAAATGAAGTATTGGAAAAATAGCACGCAAAAAGAAACCAAAAGAAAGCACGAGCAGCTATACTTCTTTCACATAAAATAGGCCATAAGTCAAAAACTAGAAAAGCACAAAAAGAGGAACTGAACTGGAAAAGAAAAAGAATATCTGTACTCTTATACACACAGTGCTTCAGCATCTCATTTTATAAAACAAATATTAGTAGATTTAAAGACAGACTCCAATAAATAACAGCTGTGGACTTCAACTCTTTGCTTTCATCGGTGGGCATGTTACTTAGCAGAAAAACAACACAAAATACTCAAGTTAAGCTATACTATAAATGCAATGAACCTAGACATTTATAAAACATTTCACCTAAAAACTGCAGAATTCATCTTGCTACATTCTCCAGATAGACTGCATGTTAGTTTACAAAACAAGCCTTGACAAGTTCAAAAATTAAAGTAATATCAGGTATCATCTCTCATCACAATGGAATGAGGCTAAACGAGCAAGATGAACTTTAAAATGTGTAACTGTTTGAAAGCTAAGCAGCACACTGCTGGATTACTATTAGGTCAATTAATGAAGAAATGAACAAGTTACTTTTTCTTAAGCAAATGAGAGCAAAGACATACAAAAACCTATGAGTTAAAGAAAATAATAGTACTAAGAAGAAAGTTTATGGAAATAAAAACCTATTAGTACATCAAAAAATGAGAGGTTAGGCGCAGTGGCACACACCTGTATTCGCGGTACTTTGGAAGGCTGTGCAAGAACATTGTAAATTTAAGCCTCCAGCAGGCAACTTAGTGAGAACTTATTTCAAAAATAGAAAATAAAAAGAGACTGAGATGCAGTCCAGTACAAAGGCCCCAGGTTCAATTTGCAATACCAGTGAGATAGAAAACCGGAAAAACAAGCACAAATTAAATCCAAAATTAGTAGAAGGGAATAAATAATAAAGATCAAAAGAGAAATAAAAACATTAAAGGCCAAAAAATAATATCAAAGAGCAGTGAAATAAAGTTATTTTTGAAAAGATAAACAAAAGTAACAAATGTTTAGCCAGGATAATCAGTTAAAAAATAATGAAAACATAAATAAAATCAGAGATAAAACGAGGCATTATTATCTGTACCACAGAAATGCAAAGGATCATTACAGTCTATAAAGAACAAATATATATCAACTACTTTTAAAATACATAATAAATGGATAAATTTCTCCACACATATAATTGTCAGATCATATAGTATGTTGGACCACGTGAAGACAGTAGAAGACTAATAAAAAGCCATGAGACTAAACCAGTGGTTAAAAAGTCCCCTCAGCAGACATAATCCTGGAATTATCTTTGGTCTCATTGCTGGATTATACAGAACGCTTTAAAAAGAACCAATACAAATCTCAAATTATTCCAAAAATCGAAAAAGAGGATGCTATGAATCCAACATTGCTCTGTTGTCAAACCAGACACAGCCATAAGAAAAAAGGAAAACTACAGACCAACCCTGATGCACATAGATACAAAACTTCTTAACAAAATGCAAGCCAAATCCAGCAATGTATGAGATAGAGGAGAGCCTATACTCAAATAGGATTGACTTTAGATATGCAGGTATGTTTCAAACTGTGAAAATCAATTAATATAACACAACATGTCAACAGACTGGAGACAAAAATATATGATTATATTGATAGAGACTGAAAAAGCGTTTAATGAATTTAACATCCTTCATAACTAAATCCTGGAATAAATTAGAAATAGAAGGTTTATATTTCAACAAAAAAGGCTATACATCACAAACCATATTCAGCATCATGGTGAATGGAAAAAACCTAGGAACCTTTCCTCTAAGATCTGGAACAAAGCACAAACAACCATTTTCACCACTCCTGTTAATGTAGCACACAGTATCTTAACCAGAACAATTTGTCAAGAGAAAAAAATAAAAGACCTCTAAGTTGGAAAAGAAATTGTATTATATAGGTATGCAGATCACAGGACCTTATCTGTAGGAAAACCTAAAGACGCCACCAAAAAACCATTAGAAATAAAAGAAATTTAGTAATATTGCAGGTATAAAATGACTATTAAAAAACAGTAGCATTTTAATACAACAGTGATGAACTGACTGAAAAAGAACTTTAAAAAACACCATCACTCACAATATTCACAATACATTATCTAGGAATAATTTAGCTAAGAAAAATGGAAAGTATCTGCAATGAAAATTATAAAGCACTGATAAGGCACATGGAAAGTGAAAAGATTTCCTGCTTTTCATAGATTGGAATACTTTGTATTATGAAAGTGTCTATACCATCCAATTCAGTATTCAGATTCATTGTAATCTCACCAAAAGACTAATGGCGTTTTTTTCAATAAATTAGAAATAAATATATAAATAGGCTAACAGAATAGAACAGTCCAGAAATTCATCTGGACTGTGTATTCACAAGCAATTTTTGACAAAGGTGCCAAGAACATTAGCTATTGGGCATATGGCTTCTACCCAACAATTCTAAATTTAACCAACAAAAATTGAAGCAGTCAGGAGAAAGAAAGAATTTCAATCAATAAAATATGTGCCAACTAATTTGCTAGTATTTTCTTATTACTCTTTACACTAGAGAAACAATGTGATATTTACTGATGTGAGTCTTGTTTATTTCACTTATGAGGATATTCTCAAGTTGCCGCCATTTACCTATAAAGGCCTCAAGATCATCCTTTTTAATAGCTGAGTAGTATTCCATTGTATAAAAATACCACATCTTTTTCATCCACTCTGCAGCTGATGGGCATTTTGGTTGTTTCCAATATTTAACTATTGTAAATTGTGCTGCTATGAACATGGGTACACATATATCTATGTGACATAACCTTTTCAATTTTTCTGGGAAAATACCCAGGAGGGGACTAGCTGGATTGAACCTCCAGTCCTAGTTTTTTGAG